GATATTTATAAGCTAAAACATAATAATTAGTTATATTTGCTAATGGGGTTGGTTAGTTAAAAAGCTTTTCTCTCATTCAAGATTACGAAATTGCTCTGTGTGCACTACAAGTGAAAGATTTGGTGCTCTTATACGCAAATATTTCCAACTACTTTGCAATTCTTTTTATATATTTTTTTTTTCTTACAATTATATTATACTTTCATCTATTGAAAGAATTTGTTAATTTTTCTATATCTTGACCAAATTTTCTATTTAAGTTTCAAAAGTTTGGAAATGTCAAAAGAATGAAATTCATGTGGAAGACAAATTTGCATTCTCACTTTTTTGAAAAGGACATTTAGGAAAAATATATCATCTAGAGAAATTTTTTTTTGGTCTACCATGAACTAAATTAGGATTATGTTTAGAATAATTAAACTATCTATCTAGAAAATTCAAATCTTTTGAAAAGAAAAATGGAAATTAGGATCTTAACCATTGACATTTTACTTTATAAGGTAAGTACAAGTTTTACTTACCTATTGACAAACCAAAGCAGGGTTTTCAAAGAAACGATCAAATTTTAATAATAATTAAATTAATGGATGTAAATCATTGATTACTGCTCAAGATGACGTTGTCAATTAAGTGTGGCGTGATTTAACTATTTTAATAATTATTAATTGTTTTCGTAATTATCAGTTAGTCTAATTTTTAAGTAATCATCAGCTATTTTATCAAATGTTAGCTACACATTGAGAGGAACAATGTTTCGTAGTCTCTATTAGTATAGGTGTCATGTCATCGAATAAAAAAAAAATGTAATGAAAGGATGATACAACTGAACTATATAAATAATAGAGATAGTATTTTTCATCTTAATCAAAACTGTAAAAGCTATATTAAAAATTATTGTTGAACAAATCCTTAGTTATTTTCTCACATAAATCATAAAATTTTAACTTTTTTAATACAAATTATTCAAACGAGAGAGCTATCCCATTAAATTTATCCAAGTAGAACATTCAATATGGAGACTATTAGATTTACAAATTAGGAAAAATTATTTATTTATGGTTTCATAAGATAGGAAATATACTTAATTATCAACTAAGTCGATCCTTGGAGTTTTGTTTGTTTTATAATACTTACGATCATAGGTATTTTCGTTCAATTTTTGCATATCCAAACTTAATCTCAATTATGGGCTGAAAGCTTGTTATATTATAAACGAAAATTAGTATACCAAAGCTTCTTTCAGAAAAGTATACTTAGTGTCACGTCATTACAATATATGAAATTAGCCTTATTTGTTTTATTTATTTTAGTTAATATATATCATTAAAAAAAAAAAAGAATTAGGATTCACATTAATTTTAAAAAAATGGAAAAAAAAGAGAGATTTATTTTTATCTATCAAAAATGAATTTCACATTTATACAAGTGATGATGCATTGCCATACCATATGTAAAAAAACAAAATAATTAAGTTTCAAGCTAGACTTTGATGATGTTTTAAATGTAAACTAACATATAATATCTTTTATTATAAAATAAAGGCCAAATAGTCAAAAAGAAGACCTAAACTTTTTGAAAATTTGTAATTATACTCAAAGATCCTAAATATATTATTTCAATTTTAAGCTTTAAAGATTTGTTATGACTAAAATAAATTGTAACCTTTTCATACCTATCATTTTCTTTTATCACTCGTCTCGAAATTCAATTATACTATTATAAATCTTCATTAATACCTTATTAATTGTATAAAATAATGGTTTAATTTTAATCAATTGATTACAACTATAAGTTTCATAACAAATCTTTAAAAATTAGAACAAAATAACCTATTCTAAATTACGTGAGCACAATTATAATCTTTTTGGTCACTAACCAAAAATAAATATATAATAATTAAAATAGTCATAAAAAATCCGTTAATTAATTTTATTTATCTTCTATTGTTTTTATTATCATCCAAGCTTCCAATAATTCATGTGACTTAATTTCTATATCTTAAAAGAACCTTTTTTTTTAGCTAACTTGGTAAAGTTATGGATGTTTAACATGATGAGGCAGCAAATAGATTAAATTAAAATCTTAAACTTTTTAAATAATATAAAAACCTAAATAAGAATTAGTATATTTAATTTGTAGATAGTGCAAGAAATCTTGGAGGAATTACCCTTATATTTTCAAAATTTAGTAATTTTGGATTAAATAATTTTTTAATAATCAAAATCTTTGTTATAAATTTATCAAATTCTGCCACTAAAGATATCAAAAGTTTTGGATTTGTACAGTCAAGAAAAGAACATGAAACCCCTAATATTAATGAACCAAAATCAAATTGCAGATCAACTAGACATTGATAAGCTCACCAATCCATGAAGGTGACGGCTTAAACTAAAAGGGGGGGAATTTATAACATCAATCACTAATCAAAACCATACGAGCAATAATGACTTATCACCATATATATATATATATAATATATATTATAAGTTTGACGATAGAACTAGATTTGAATTCTCCTCTCTCCATACTAAAAAAAAAAAATTATAAGCTTATTTAAAATTAATTAAGTAGCTAGAAATTTTGGGTTTTTTGCAAGGTAAGGCATGAGTTGAGGCCACAACTTGAAGAGAAGGTTGCTTAGAGTTTCGATTGGTTTTATTTTATTTAGCTAAATTTAAAGATAAATGGTCGCATTCCCTTTTAGGATTTTGCATATATTGGATAAGATATGACAAATTTGCAATTAAGATCCTCGACATGGAAAAACCTTGTTGATTCTTGACCTCTCACCAACCCTAAACTACCCAGCTTCTATACAAATATTTTTTAATTAAATTAAGGAATGGCCGACTGATTTAATTACTTGTACATTACAATAATATTTCAAAAATTATTTTAATTAGTAATTAGTAGATAAAAACTCCCAAAAATAAGCATTAAGAGTTGATGAAATGCCAAATATTAGCTGCCACAGTCATCCAAATGGGTCCTTAATTAGCAATAATGCATTTTTTTTTTTTTTAAGTAGGGAATTTTTGATATCTATTAGATAGCAATGCAAAATTCATATGATAGGACAGGAAAAGAATTAGGTTCATGTATCCTTTGCTTCAATGTCAACCAAGTAGTTATTTGATATATAGTTAATTAAATATATAAATATACATGATTTTTTACTAATTAATATGTAGGTAATAATGTTTTGAAAAAGTTGATAGGGATATGAGATTATTGTCAATTATGTAATGATAGAAATAATAAAGGAATGATATATGCTACCTAGCTAATCAAATTAAGGGAGCTGATACTAATTAATTAAGATACACGTTCAATTTTTTAACTATGTTCATATTGAATAATAAATTGTGGTGTTTTTTTTTTTTTTTTTTTTTTTTTTTTTTTTTTTTTTTTTTTAATTTTTTTTTTTTTTTTTTTTTTTTTTAAAAAGAGAGAAAAATAATAGTTATGATGTTCACAAATTGAAAATGACACCACTTCAACTATATAGAATAAAAAAAATTAATTCTTTCTTTATTTTTTCTCATTTTCTTAAGGATAATATATTAGAATTTCGTTAATAAACTCCAAATCAATACAAATAACACATGAAAAATAGAATCCTTCCCCTAGAGACCAGATATAAAACGAACTATCATAAATAAGATATGACAATTTTAAAAGAAATCCTAATAAAAGAAAATTGGATAATTATTCTACACTTGCGAAATTAAAATATTAAATCATTCCGTTTTACTCAACAAACACAACCTCCTACTATTACAAGATATGCATCATTTTAAACAATTTAATAACTAAATTATTTTAAACTCAAAAAAAATTAAATTATTTAAAAAATTATCAATTTAATAACGAAACAATATAAAGCATTATACAAAAGGGATAGCTCTCCTCTCAAATCATATAATGAGTGAAAATTTTTACGGTGAAGACTACTCCAAATCGAGATTTTTTACTTCGGGAATTAGTTGAAAGACCAATTAGCCCGGGTTGCACCGAATGACTATTTTGATGGTCAACCCATCAATCACCGAAAATGGAGCCTTTGGAATGGTTCTGGGCTTCAATATGATTTAGAACCTCTGCAATTGGGCTTTCATTAGTTTGATAGCAATCTGGTTTTTTCGTAAAAGAATTATCGGTATGTTAAGTTTTATTGTTTGTGCTATTATTTAAAAAATAATTAAAAATATTGATGGGAGATTATGAAATTTTATTTAAATTAAATTTTAAATATTCTAGTAATTACAAATTTTTAAATAGTTTCTCAAAAAAGGAAAAATCATTAGATGATATTTGCAAAATTTTAGAATTTTTTTCAAAAATTAACCTGAAAATACCTTATTCCTTTTGTACAATATATACTATTTCTTTTGTACAATATATATATATATATATAGTATAATATATTGAATATATATAACATCACCTTAATTATATATACACCTTAATTTGAATAAAAAAAAATAATTACCCCAATAAGAGTTTAAGAAGTTAAAATTCAAGGAACTTTTTTTTTTTTCCCTAAACAATTTAAACAACTTTAAGTCTTCTTAATCAATAATTAAAATTTGTATGTTTTGTTTCTTTTAATGATAATTAAAAAGCAAAAATACTAGTCAAATAAGTCGAGTAATATTTTAATAAACTAAAATGAAAATTTAAGCACTTTAATTTACAAAATTATTTTATTAAATATTTTTAATTGTAAAATTAAATCTATTAAACACTTTTTTTAAAAAAATGTTATAGATATTAAATAACTGAAAAATATGAAAAATATTGTTATAAAAATTATGTTCATTATACATCAATCAATATTTTATATATAAAAATTAAAAATTTTAAAATTATTATTTTTATTATGAAAGGTGTGTAATAATATTAAAATTTATAATTCAAGTGTAGTTTTAAGTCGTTGACAAAGTTCAGGGACGATAAAATTAAAGTCGGAAAATTGTGTATTCCACCTTGACCTTGCAGTGTTCAAGCGTAAAAAGACCGTTCAAACAGCCCAAAATACAAGGGAGTAGCAAAAAGCACTTCCCAACTGCATCCGCAGGCAGGAAAATGTGATTGGCCTAATTAACAGCCAATATGCAATCCCATTCCCGACAATACTAACAATACTAACACCTTCCCATTCTTTCCCATACATCTTAATCTCCACTCAGAATCACTCCAATCCCAATTCAAACAGCAGATAAATGGCTTCTTCTTCTTCTTCTTTCCCTTTACTTCTAGCAAACCCAGATTCTGGTTTCAAGTTCTTGAAACGTAACATCAAGATTCATGACCAAAGAACAGCTACAGCTCTCGCTCTTCGTATTAGAGCTGCTTCTTCGAGTTCGAGTGATAGCAATCTTTCTTCATCCAAATCAACCAAGTTGGTCACTTTTTTAGGCAAAGGTGGCTCCGGCAAGACCACCTCCGCCATTTTCGCTGCTCAGGTGTTTCTATCTTTCATTTTTTGTATATTTCTGCTTCCTATTATTCTGAGGCTAATAATGCGTGTGGTTCTTGGGCTCAAATTGATTTGGGTAGGTATATTTTCTTGTCAAGAATGTTATCAATTTGTCTATATCATTCTGATATCGAATTCTTAGTGATTTATTTTAGTCTGTTAATGTGATTTAAAGGGATTGATCCTTTTTTTTTTTTTTTTTGGGAAAAAACTTTACATGTTAAGCTTGTTGCTATTGGAGTTATTCTAACATAAGGGATTGGAGGTCATTGTCATAAGCCTTAGTAAGTCTGTTGAGATTTTTGACAAACTAAATTTGTGGCCAGCTTTGCTAAGTATAACTCTATAAGGTTAACAGCTCCACCCCCACACCACCACCACCACCACCAAAAATGAAAAAAGAAAAGAAAAGGAGAAGGAGAAGAAGAAGAATGAAAAAATTATGATTAATGGGTTTGAGAAAATAAACCTATTTTCTTTAAGCTAGATTTATTTTTGTTTTCTTTTGAAGGTTGCTTCACCCTAGACAATAGACATCTTTTAGGGCAACAGAAATTAGCACTTAATTTACTAAATTTAATTTCTTGATCTGAGATACATTTTAACCAAGATTCATCTCTGGAGATTAACTTTTATGTCTGGTCACATGCTGATTGGTCAGCATTATGCAATGGCTGGACATCGCACATGCTTGGTAGTACAGACCCAAGATCCCTCTGCTGAGTATCTTCTGAACTGTAAGATTGGAACTACTCCTGTCTGGTGCAATGACAACCTTTCAGCTGTTAGATTAGAAACCACTAAAGTATGTTTTTTTAGCTTCCTATTTTCTGTTTTATGTGCAATTCAAAGTTTTTCTTGTAAAGGGTTTGTCTTTGCATTAAGTACACTCTTGACATTTGCAGATGCTTCTTGAGCCTCTGAAACAACTAAAGCAAGCAGATGCTCGACTTAAGATGACTCAAGGTTTCCTTGAAGGGGTAGGTATGTAATAGCTCTATTAATATTATTATGTTGTCGTATACTTGCATTAAATAGAATTTTTTCCATGGAAATCATTATCTTGTAATCAAATAATAGGTGGTTGGGGAGGAGCTTGGTGTGCTACCTGCAATGGATTCTATTTGTGGTGCATTTGCTATTGAGAGGCTTGTCAAATTTGCAACAAATATAACCCAGGCAAAAGCCGAGAAGGAGAAATTTGACATAGTAATATATGATGGATTGAGTAGTGATGAAATTCTACGATTGATAGGTGGACCTAGTAAAGCAAGGTTGAGGCATTAATGACTGACTCTCGCTCGTTTTTATGTGTTTGTTGTGTGCGTCTCTCTCTCAGACTGTTTAGAAACCACTCAGCCTAAAAGCTCCAGCTTGTAGGAGAGAACCCAAGAATTTATATTTCTAATTCTAATACATTAAAACATCTCTGTTCAACCACAATTATTTCAGGTTGTACTTGAAATATCTGAGAAATTTGGCTGAAAAGACTGAAATTGGGAGACTGGCAGGGCCTTCACTCCTGAGACTTGTTGATGAAGCAATGAATTTAAGTGGTGGGAATTCTCAGTTGAATGGTAAAATCAGTGCAGAACTATGGGACATTTTGGAAAAGATGTTGGAGGTAAATGTGATTTCCACTTCTCACTTGCCAGTTGTCAGTTTCTATGCAAATTTGACAGATTCTTTGTTGATTATATCCCAGCGAGGATCCTCTGCCTTATCTGATCCTTGGAAATTTGGCTCCTACCTCGTAATGGATCCAAAAAGTCCAACCTCTGTGAATTCCGCACTACGCTACTGGGGCTGTGCAATCCAAGCTGGCGTTCAGATTTCTGGTGCAATTGGAATTGCTTCTCCACATTTGAATTCAAAATCAATGGAACAAATCAAAAACAACTTTTCACCTTTGCCTTTTGCTTTCCTACCAAATTTCTCAATGGATCATCCACTAGATTGGGAATCAATCGTGTTAAACACTGTTGGTCATGATGCAAGGGCTCTTTTCTCTCCATCAGAAAGTCTCAGAGCGCACTTCACGTCGCCAGTGAAGTTTGATGAAGCTAAAAAATCAATAACCCTTTTTATGCCAGGTTTTGACAAGACAGAGATCAAGCTATATCAAGTATGTCCAGTCACTTAAGTTTTTCCCTTTTTTTAAATTTTTTTATTTCTAGTTCAGAAGGTTTTGCAATGGCATTTGAGACAGGTTTGGTAGGAGAGTGTGTGTCTATTCGAAATGCTTTCGCTAGTTGACCAAATTGAATTTTTGCACTTCCACAAATATTAGAATTTTCTAAGTTTCATGTCATCATAAAACAGGTAAAGAAAATGAACCTTATAGATCCAAACCATATAATAGTGTTGAAAATTTGCTGAAGTTGCTGATATGATCATCTGCATTTCGTTGTTTTGGTGTTCAGTAGCTAAACATCATCGTCCCTTTTTCCTCTTTTACCGGTTTAGTGCGGTTTAGTGGAAGGAATGCTTTTTAAGGAATTTAACTTGATTGCAACACTTGTTGTCCAATGAATGCAGTACAGAGGAGGGTCTGAGTTGTTGGTGGAAGCAGGAGACCAGAGACGTGTAATTTGTTTGCCGCCGAAAATTCAAGGTAAGGTGGGGGGTGCAAAATTTGTCGACAGAAGCCTTATAATCACAATGCGATAGCGCGATATGATTTAATTATGTAATTCAAGGAATAGTACTTATTGGTTTTGGACTTGTGGCTCATTCGCCCTTTGGAATATATATATATATATATATATATTTCAAGGGAAAAAATAAGTACCCCTTTTTTTTTAAAATTGGTTTTGGACTTGGTGGTATTCGCCCTTTGGAATATATATATATATATATATATATATATTTGGCTGTGGTTTTTCTATTCAACACAGTTAATTCCAGTTTTTGTGTACTGGTAGCCCTGGAATATAATAAGATAGAAGCCAAATTTTGGGATGGATGCCAAAATTCCTTGGAGCATTCTAAACCTGTTATCACAATTGGTAATTCCTTCTAGCTTTTATATATATATATATATATATATATTTGCTGTGGTTTTTCTATCAACACATTATTCCAGTTTTGTGTACTGGTAGCCCTGAAATATAATAAGATAGAAGCCAATTTTGATGATGCAAAATTCCTTTGGAGCATCTAAACCTGTTATCAAATTGTATTCCTTCTAGCTTTTCCTTTTCTTTCAGGTTTAACTGGACTGATTATAAGTGTATCAGAATATATACACTGTTCTATGAAAACACGTAATTGAGAAGACAAAATATACAACAGAAAATCCACCAAAAAAAAAAAAAAAAGAATTACGATCCTTCTAGCTTATTGTCCTCTCCTGTTGCTGCATGTACACGGCTCCTCAAATCTTCGAAAGTCTTCATGCTCTCTGCATCGAAGCCTCCGGCAAACTGCAAATAGATCCAGGCCAACAACAAATTTTCACATTTATCAGGAAATTAAAGATTTTGAAGTTATAAGGTTTGACTTTATATGCAATCTTATCAAAGAAAATGACAGCAGCACCATAGGTGTGCTGTACTGCTGGCTCTGACAGGATGATTTGCACTAAAGCATCGAAATCTAGTAATATATCAGTCAAATGATGGGACAAAGTATACCTGGTGAACTCGGAAAGCAAAACGAACGCCTTGCAGAAGCAAAAACTCTCTCTGTGGTTCCTTCTCAGGCCCACTCATTGCGTCAAGCTCCGATGCTACACGTTTCATGTACTTCTTGGCCAACTGAACAGATGAGAGCTTAATCTGCAAAACAACAATGGCATTGTATGAGCAAACTTAGCGTCACACTTATCAAAGTACTCCTTTGGAAGTGGTTGCTCAATGCCAACAGAACCAAATCTGCATTTTAAAAAAATAACGTCTTTCATTTTGAACCATACCTTGCCAACAACTCCTGAATCTAATAGCCAGTCAACTGGAATCCCAAACTCCCTGTATCTTGAAACAGCCATGTCCCTTGTACGTAATAGTGCGTATACGCTATTTTCCACTCTGGAAAAAGGGTCAAAAGGATAAAAATAAGATAGCAAATCAAGAAATTCAACAAAATGAATTATCTCCTGTTTACAGTAGAAAATATCAGGCCAAACTAATATACCAATTTGATGATAATGGATGTTCTTTACTTACTTCTCAAGCAATTTGTACATCTTTTTCAAAGCAGCTTCCCATGAGAGGCTGGGATCATCAACAAAAGAGGAGACCTGCTTTTGTAATTTCACCAGGTCCTGATATTCAAAAGCTGCTTCTCTTAATGCATCAGCTTTACTTTCAGGCCAATCAAAGTGCTTGAGAACTGCCCGTTCATCAACCTAATCAAATACAACAAAAAAAAGGAACAGATCAGAAACTTTCTGAGAATATATTTATTTGCTAAAGAAATGATCATCCAGAATCATTTGAAAATTGAACTTTGTTCTATGCCTCCAAAACGTTGGTTAAAGGAAAGGGGAAAACAAGTTCATAGATTTTCGCTAATTAGTCATTGTTAAATGGCAATGCCAAAAAAACAGAAGAATTCATCGTTGAGAACCATATAAGGAAAGGCCATGATGAACTAATTGTGGCAAACTATATCTTCCATATTTAACAAATATATCTTTGCTCTTGAATCAAAAAGCAGGTCCCTTTTCTAATTTTAAGCAGTCATTGCCTCAGGCAGATTATTTGCATATTCTATCCAGCAAGAAGTTTAGGGCATACCAAGAAGGAGAGTTCCTCATCCAGCCAATTTACAAAGGCCACCAAATCATCTATGTTTGTAAAGGAAGCTGCTCGAACTTCAGTTGCCAATGACTGAACAAAATCTCCTTGAGTTTCTACATCAGCTTTTACCTGTATGCCAAAAAGTTTGCATCATTAAATTTGAGTAGTGAAACCTATATTTGATGTGACAGATGAAAAGATAAATGAAAAAGGGGAAAAAGTTAACACACAGCTAAGAGGAATGATGATCTGTTCTCAATCTCCCCAATCATGTTGCTCCTAGCATCAGATGCATTAGATGTTGAAGAAATCAAAGATGGTGTATCCTTCTTTGCTTCTCGTTTCATCAATGTCTGATAGAATTCAACTAGTTCAGGAGCTCTGTGAACTTTATCACCACTTCCTGCCCCTCTTGGCAAGCTTCCAGGTGGAGGAGGAGGACGAGGTGGTCCACCCAGTGGTGGTGGTGGTAGTGGTGCACCTGGTGGAGGAGGTGGTGGCGGCACTCCACTTGAAGGAGTGGTATTTGCACCAACTGGAGCAACACCAGATGGTTTAGGAGGTGGCCTAGGCTGCCTAGGAGGCCTCTTCTCAAATTCAGCAAGCTTCATCTTGCTTATTGTTTGAGAATCAACAGTCTTAGCATCATTAGATTGGTCATTTGAATCACCATAAACAACAGGTTTCTCTTTTATTTGAGCAAGCTGTGATGGCAAGCTTACAGACTTATCTCTCCCACCCTTAGCTCTGGAATCAAAATTTGAATTGTCCCCAAACCTTGCCACTCTTGCTTGCTCTGCCTTCTCTTTAATTTGCTTCTCCCTCTCCAAGGCCAACTTATGCCGGTCTTTATAGGCAGGATACTTCTCATCAAGAACCCCTTCAACTGATTTAGACATTAATTGGAATGATGAAGCAACAGAATTTAGAGAGCCACCAGCGGAAACCTGTGTTCTTATATGTGGAAGATTTGAAGGAGTTTCAGGAGAATCAGGTATATCTTGCTCTGCCTTCCCAAATGAAGTGATAGCTACAGTTTCACCAGCATTCCTCAACATCAAGGCTTCCAGTGGACCCCTGGGTCGAAGGTTTCTTGGAGAGCCTCCAGAAAAAGATCTGGACGGGGATGAAAGAGCACTCAAATCATCTTTGCTTTTGCCCCATTTCTTGAGTTTTTGAATCAAACTGGTTTTCTTACTGAGACTACTGTATCTGCTAGCAGAGCTATCAATGGAAGCATTGTCAAATTCCTCACTTCCAGGAGAAGATGGGTGAGAAAAGTTGCTTTCAAGATCTGTGTCTCCTTGTCCACGTTCTGATCCTGCATAGTCTAACATTAGTTGTTTAGCCCTCTCTTGGGACTTGGGGCTCAGATTTTTGTTGAGATCACGTGCTGAAATTTTTCCTGGAGGTACTTGGTAGTTCCGGAGCTCATACCTCAAGCATGCATTGACCCAACGAAGGTACACTAGTTCTTCAACTTCACTAAACCTGTTCATTTGAAGTCCTTCCACTTGCTTTGATAGATCTTCATTAGCATGCTTTAAATTATTTACCTCCTCCCTTGCCTTGGCAACCATTTCATTCTGCAGCATCATGAAAAGGAAGTATATAGCAAGAAGTTTAACCAATCACATATACGAGCACACAGGTAAAATATTTAAGCTATATTTTACTGGTTATGACATTCGTTCATTTGTCAAACTACATTCTGTAGATCAGTATTTCCTTGCTATCTACAATCAGTTTGGCATGATTCATCTTTGCATACACTATATTAGTGAAACTAGGTATGTTGAGAAATGAGAAATGCTATAGACACCATAATAATAGATGTAAACTACAAAAGCAAATAAGAAGAATGCAATTCAAATATATCATGGATGTTTAAATGGTCCTTAAGGCTCCATAATAATAATCTATCTACTCATTAAGGAAGTAATAGCTTAAAAGAATAGAACACCATAAATAACAGCAAACAAACAAGTTAAACCCCAGAGAATATGGACAGTCAGAAAAGAAAAATGCATATGAGTAATATGAACAATGAGCAATATGGCTCTTACCTCTGTCATATTGGAAAGGGCTACTATATTAGCTTGAGCAGCATCCAGCTTAACAGTCAACTCCCTCTTTTCAATCTGAAGCTCTTTATTCTTCCTCCTAAGTTCCACAACTTCCACCTCTAACTCCTTCACAGCCTTCAGTTTCTTCTCAAGCTCAAGATCTTTCTTGATGGCTTCTTCCTCTTTAGACTGAAGACCAGACACTTGCTGTTTAAGCAACAACAATTGGCCTTTTGTCTGGTTAGCATCTAGCTGAATTTGCCTCTGCAGCTCCTTTAATTTGTTCCGTGCCACCTCCAATTCCTTCTTGGCCGATGCACCTTGTGCAATTTCTTCTTGAAGCTTCTTCCTCTCAGCTTGCAAGGAGTTAATAGTAATATTCAACATGTCAATCTCAACTGTCTTGATCTTGAGCTGCCTTTGTAATTCGGTTATGTCTGATTCTTGCTCCTTTAATCCGTAGTACTCAAGCAATTCGCCTTCAAGTTTAACCTCTCTTTCCTCCAATTCCTTTACTAGGTTGCGCAAACGTTCCAATTCACTTGCATTGCTTGCCATCTCGCTTTCATAAATTTTGGCTTTCTCTGTCTTGTCAATCTTGTCTCCAGGTAATGGATATTCAATCTCCCCAGAAAGAAGATCTTCAAATTCAGGTAAAAGATCTTCATCTTCAGTGTCAGGAGCAATACCACGAGACTGGTTAAATACACTACTTATCAGTTTGACCTCTTCTTCCTCTTCTTCTTCCTCCCCCTGTAATTTTATTGCACATTAATTTAGAGAAAAAGCAATGAAAAATGCATCTAATCTTTCTGGAGAAATAGTTTATGTTGATTAGCAGCCCAGGCATGAGGTAAAAAAATGAGATTGCTATCTGTTTTTGTGCATGTACTTACATCCTTATTTTTGAGTCTATCATCAGAATATGTAAAGTGCTCCTTGTCTTTCCCCTTGATTCGATTATCCTCAGCACTTGCTTCACCATTTTCTGATTATCAATTTCACCAGCCCAATCATAAACATTTGCAAAACGAAGTAAACATCACAAAACAAATATAAAGAATCCTTTGGTATAAAATATGCCATTTACATAGACCTTTTAAGCCATGTTCTCACATGTGAAAAACAAAATAAACAAAATATGAGATATTCACGGCACTGATAAAAGTATGAATCTGAGCAAACAACCAAAAAATTGATGAATAGAACTAATGGAATTTATTACCTGAAGGCTTGACTTGACGAGTGGATGATCGGATATTAAGCTGCTTAACTGAATAGGCTGCAATTGAAGCAGCAACCAGGAAGCCTACTCTGACTATCATGTAGGTATTGTTGATAGCAGAATCTTAACCTTCCATTCATTTATTGATACAAATAAACTCCAAAACACTTTATCCATTTCTTCCTAACTCCATAACCGAGTATTCGAGCCATCACCGGCCTGGAAATACACTAAGAGCTTTAGTTGTAGAATCTCCAACATCCAAAAGAGAGATTATAGGAAATCCTAGTAGAATTCTATATAAACGCCAGATAATAAAACCTGTAATCGTGTGCAAATACAATGGCTATATTGAGCTATTAATATTTCCATAAAATGTCTGCATTATCACCTTATCAGCTTTACAGACCTTTCAAGGACAGGCTTGCTTACCAACAAAGAGTTCCTGATAAGCAAAATTCCAACACAAATTATCATGCTAAGAGCTACAGGAGCCACCAATGTAACTAGTGGCCAGTTTTGCTTCAAAAATATTTTGACAATTTACAAGAAACAAAGTGGGTAGGTCTGACATATTTCCATTTCCTTTCAAAGTAATGCATATAGTTACAGAAAAAAAGACTGAAAGAGACAGTAGTAACAGCAAATTTGAGCAAAAATGTGGCAGTCTTGGTATCTTGTGCAAGCTATGTATCAAAATAAAAACCATTAACTAAAAGGGGTAATGAGAACTTTCTGGTCTCTTATATCTCGCAATAAATGAAATTTCGCTGGCTGTTCCGGGTAGCTAATTTTTGGGTGCCTTACCTGATAAAATTAATGCCAAGTTTTTCACAGCTCAACCGTCTGATTGACCTTATCATTTTCTTGATATCTAAATCTTTGATTAAAGGTTACAGATTAAATAATTAAGTCGCTCTCTCAAAAAATTAAATAAGTAAACAAATAATTCTACCTCAGATAATAGTGCCATTCATAGCCATTGGATGTTTGCAAAGGACCCACAGAGTAAATCTTGATTAGAAGGGCTCAATACAAGGACCAAGGACCAATTATTAAGGTGGGTCCAGTTTCTTTTTGGCATTACAACACAATTTAGTATAGAAAGTACATGAATTTTGATACAAAGATAAAGATGAGGTAAGATAAGGCTGAGATTTAATTCTGGGTTGTTTGCTTAATGGACTGAAGCATTTGTAAGATGCAAGCCAAGCATATACAAAGCACACCAAACTTTTAGTGATTCACTGCCAAAATCACATGTTGCCTTTTTTTTTTTTTTTTTTTTTTTTTTTTTGGCTGAGATTTAATTCTGGGTTTGTTTGCTTAATGGGACTGGAAGCATCTTTGGTAAGAATGGCAAGCCAAGCATATACACAAGCAACACCAAACTTTTAGTCGATTCACGTGCAAAATAAGTGTTTGCCCTTTTTTTTTCTTTTTTTTTTTTTTTTTTTTTTTTTTTTTGGCATTTGTTTCTAGAATTTATCCTCTGTAAATAACTTTTCGATTTACTTCATAAAGTTCATGTGTTAATGTCTTCTTTCTCTCTTGAATGAAATTCCACAAAAACTGAAACATAATGAAATCCAGAGAATGACCTGGCAAAGTTGAAAGCTGACAACTTTGACAGAAGCCCTCATCACCATATCAAATATCCGTTTGGCCGAGGAATTTGTTGGTGCAAACTTGTCAAAAAGAAATAATATACAGATATTATTTATACATGAAGGGAATTTCAACAAAAAAAAAAAAAAAAAATCCTTTAAAAAAAAAATCCCTTTCTGTGTCTTTAAAATTATTAGTGGTGTCCTCACTGTCTAGCACAGAGTCAGCAGGCCAAGAGTAGTTGGCAACCGAAATCTCAAAACTAAAGCGTCACAGAGGTGCTATGGGCTGTGCTCTCATATATTTGTGATACTTTTTTGACTTATTCAACTCAGAAAATCATCTAATAAGTATGTCCTACATTGCACAGAGCCAAAAATCTAAGTGTCAGGTGGGAGCAAGCTAAAAGTGCATACCTAACCGTGAAATAGCTGAAGTTACGCGAGAGAGAAACTTCAAATTAAAAAAAAAAAAAAAAAAAATCCTTTTCTGGGTCTTAAATTTAGTGGTCTCCACTGTCCCCAGTAGCAGCCAAAGTATTATCCAAATCTCAAACAAATCCAATGGCTATGGGCTTCTCATAATTTGTGATACTTTTTACTATTCAACAGAAAACATTAATATTGTCTACATTCACAGAGCAAAAAATCTAAGTGTAGGGGCAAGCTAAAATGCATACCTAACCGTGAATAGCTGAAGTTACGCGAGAGAGAAGCTTCAATTTGACGATTAATCATCTCCGAAAGAGGAGGAAGAAGAAGCAGAAGAACCAGAATAGCAAGTTTTGGATAGAGAAAGGAAGTAAACTGCAGCCCCAATTGCCTGGGCGGCAATGACAATTTTTGAAAGCTTTGGGTTTATAATCAAATGAATCAAACACAAGAAAGCATTCTTGACTTTCTTAAATTACTAATTTGCCCTTCACTGCATGTTGATGCTTTAGTTACTCAAAATTATTCAAGAAACAGACAAATTTCCTTACGACAAAATTAACAATGCTAATTATTACATTAATTGCAAATTAAACGTAATTTAGATAGTTTCCGCGGAAATGCACTACAACTCAGTGGTAAACTACTCATGTAATTGCATGAGCCACTTGATTTCGTGTTTTACCCTCTCCATCATTCCTATCATGTAACTATGGAAAAAAAAGAAAATAATTTAATTATCGAAGTAGTCGAGATTATTAAAAGTTTTTCATAATTATAATAAAACTTTAATCTTTAATAGTATTCACCAAATTAAAAGGGATAATTCATCTCTGAACTCACCAAATTAAAAATATTATTTACATATACACATAAATAAAAAAATTAACTAGACCACATCCCAGGCATAGACAATGGAAAAGCCAGGAAAGTTCTTGGAAACAGATCAACATTTTCTATGTATAATTATAGCTTTTTACCGTCCAGAGAAGTTTCTGGTCGCAATCCTTTGCTTAATCTTCGACTCAAAGGCTTTGCATGACACTTTCTGCTGTAACATTATTAATGGTCCTAAACTGGTGGTCTCATAGTGCTTCAAAGGTGGAGAGTTTTGACTTTTGCTGTCTGAAATGGATGAAGTCTAATCTTTTAGACAAGGATCAAGGTAAGTTGCTATATTCGGGGACAGAGACATCCGAATAACTTATTTAACTCATGCACTCTGAGTGTGAAAATGTTGTAATCTATCAAAATTGAAGAAAACAAATCATAAAAACTAGATCAAACTCGACAAACTCTGTGCATTCGTCCATCTCAGTTGATAGAAAATTCATTACACAATTATCCACAAAATGTAAGAGAACCTGGTCTGCAACAAAGAGACCATATAGGATCAGGAAAATTGACTTATTTATCACTTCAGGTAACTGTTGTAACCCTTCATTAAGCATTTCCAGGCTGGTTGCAACTGAACAGAATCACAGCAGCCAAGATGAAGATCCTCATCATCCAGCCGGAATCTCATTGATTCTCTAATTGCTTAATTAATCCAGAAGGAATGACATCACAATCGATACATTACAAAAAATTATAAAAGACCAAAAACGCCTGATTCACATTACATTTTAACCATGGTTTTTTACATAGCCCTCCGCTGAAAGAGAAATATATCGGGTAATTATTGGATGATCTCCACTAGGATACACTATTATTTTCAGGCTTGATTGTCCCATTTCCACCTTCGTCCAACCTCCTCGAGAACTTTAGCACGGGCTTGGCATTTCCTAGCTTCATCCTCTACCCAAGATCTGCATTGATTGCCTCCAATAATTAGATTACATACCAATGATAAATTTTAATCACATGAAACCAACATATTTCAAGTCTCAACAAAATTCAGTTGTCTATTATTCCAGAGAAGAATAGCTTAAACTAAAGAATTCTTCAAAACAGAGAAATATAGATTATCAATTAACATTGTGTCTCTTGGTAAACTAGTAAACTTCGGCTGAGTCATACTGCCAGTATGTTCTACAGTATGCTTCATCTTTGAAAGCAGAAAGGATATCAATAACTAGATCACCAAATCTCCAGCTTATGAATCTATGCAGCACTCTCTCTTCAGGTCCTAACTAATTGTAAACTTTGCTCAACCAACTTCACAGTTTAAGCAAAGGTATATTTCAAAAAGAAACATAGGAAAATATTCATTTAGCACAAGTTTATGTCCTAAATTTAATTAATGAAACCATGTAAAATAAATGAACCATAAAGAAGAAGCACATTTTCAATTCATCAAAAAGATTATAACTTTTGATGCAAACAGAAATAGCAAATTTCAAATGAACAATAAAATCAATGACACTAATGATGTTGACATATCTAGTTGTAGGATTATCCATCTTTCATATTAGCAACTATAGTCCAGCAATTACTAGATCAAGTTTGCAACTGAATGCAATGATGTTCAAATGGCCATTATTATATTTACCTTAGAATTCGAATAGCTTCTATTTCAGCTTCTAGTACAGATTTTGAATCAAGAATCGCATCCTGCTTGTTCTGTAGTTCACCAAGCAATTCCTGTAGATTACTTTGCTCAGCAACATACACAGCCCTCTCAGAAGCAAGCCTTTCTGACATCTCATCAACCTCTTCCTTCAGACTAAGAAGCAGATGCCTCTGACATTCCATTGCTGCCTTCTCCTTGAAATGCTCTGCTAAATCTTTCACCTGAACAGTTTTCTCATGCTCCAAATCATGTAAAGCAGCAACATAAAGTTTCTGGACCTCAAACGCACGGGTCCTTTCTTCATTCATCTTCTCATTCCAAAACCTCTCTATATCTCCTTTTTCAAGTAACTCAGACCTTATTTCCTCCATCGCAACTTGCCTTGAAGAATTCTCAGCTTCTAGTCTTAATATTTCATTATAAACTGCTTCCGCCATCCGGCCACTTGTCAGAGCAACTGCAGCTTGTGCCTTTGTCACAGGTTTATTCGGTTGAAACCGCCTACTTTGTCCTGAACAAATTTAAACACGGGAATTATCAATTTCATGCGTGACTTACTGGCATGAAAATTGTGCATCTGAATTTCCTTGACTTCCCCTCTTAAGAAAATACCACGAGCCCATGATTTTAAAAGAATGATAAATGAATGCATAGCCATGATCCACTCAATAATCTGTGAATTAATTTATCTGCAATCTGACAATGCTGTTAGCGCAAAGAAAATAAAGAGTCTGCTTAACTTTGTTTTTAATTATTGAGGGGTCCAAAGTACTCTAATTTTGCATTTACTTCAGGCATAATTACAATCTTTATTTTCTTGTCTAAAACAGCTATCCTACTCATATTTTGTTTGGAAGTACAAGCCATGAGTACCATTGATATAAATTCACACTCACTCCTGGCAACAAACAGAAGCTCTTATTTTCATATTTTCCATCCTTCAATATACAAACTTTTTGGAAGAAAATAAGTTTCTTCAAACTTTGAAATCTTGAATTGTATTCCTATGAAAGTGAAAGGAATTTGAAAGTTTAAAAAAAAAAAAAAAAAAAAAACTTCAAGTATACAAGACTTTTTGGAAGAAAATAAGTTTCCTTCAAACTTTGAAATCTTGAAATTGTAGTTCCTTATTGAAAGTGAAAGGAATTTGGAAAAGTTTTAAAAAAAAAAAAAAAAAAACAAAAAAACAAAAAAACAAATGCACCTAATCATTCAGCAGTCAAATCCTTTCTTATGGAGCAACTAAATAAATGCACTCTGGTAGTGGAATTACCTCTATATTGTGGTGAGTAGTATATGTATTAAATTTAAAAAAAAAAAAAAAAAAACAAAAAACAAAAAACAAACTGCCTAATCATTCAGCAGTCAAATCTTTCTTATGGAGCATCTAAATTAAATGCACTCTGGTAGTGGATTACCTCTATATTTGGTAGTAGTATATGTATAAAACAAGACAAGAATACGTTGGATCTTTTCTGAAACATAACCTATAACAGCACTATAAGCTTTAAAAAAGGCCACAATAGCTCTAATTTTAATGTGACCAGATTTTAGGAAAAGAAAAAGGAGGATAATAGAGGAGGGCAAAATACCAAAAACTTTTCTGATTATGCTCTTCTTCCCAGCCAACATGTCACTAAGGAGCTCCGGTGATGCATCCGAACTGACCTCCTTCACATCCATATAATCTACTTTTGTTTTTGACATCTGGACTGTATACAAGTCAGGTTTTAAAAGGCTATGAAAGGCTACTGATAGTTCCTTTTTTTCTGAAAAACATTTTGCCTTTTAATCAACTTAACAAATTATGAACCATGTATTTGAAATATATTTTACCTGTTCTGTTATTCCAGGCATGAATTGATACTCTAACTGAGCTTTCCAGTTGATCAAATCCTGCCGAGAAATAAACCTACCGCACCAAAATGGAAAAGTAGAATATCTGTTCTTCAAATAGTATAATGAAGATTTAAATGGAAACCTCAAATGCTAGGAGGAAAAAAGTCCACAGGTTAGTATATATCCATACCTCTCAGGGTGAAAGAAGAAGCTTCCATCTACTTTTGAGGTGTCCGAACAGCAATTGGTCCCTAATATCTTGCTGGGTATGACACCAGCTTCTGCAAGAGCTGTTTGGCAACCCAGAAACAGACATGGAACCTTTATAGCAGAGACAACCTTAAAATAGCAAATATTTAAAAGTAAGCTTTACCTTGAATGGAATAAAAATCAGGATCTTCAACACCCACATCATCAAATGCAGCAACTACAGAACCAGAAAGTAATGTAGATGGAACAATTCTATGCTTCGGATTCCTAGAAACGAACATACATTGTGAGATACTGAGTGGCAAAAAACATTCAAACTACTAAATATATTTTAGTTTCACAAGATTTCCACAATGTGGACCAGTTAGTACCTTTCCAATACTGAATTCAGGCAGACTAACCACCTTGCATATTCCCTTCTAGCGCACAATTCATCAGCCCTTACATCATCTTCAATTATCTGTATATCTTAATTAAAATTGAGATATTCATGCACAGAACTGGACCAAAACCTCCATTCACATTAATATACAATTTCACAGCTAGATGAGAAAAAGACGAGAGGGAGGGGGCTGCAACAAAGTTACAGAATTTGAATTTAAACAAATACAAATCATTAATTATCAGAACCAAAAGTTAACACAATGATAATCAAGAACAGCTAGAACAAGAGAACTCACAGTAAATGGTATCTACTTAAGAGTGCAGGTACTAATAGTAATTAATTCCGAATTTTGACAGCATGCCTTACATATCTCACTTTTACTTTTTAAGCCTTGAAAGTAAAAAGATATGAAGAAGCAAAAGAAACAAGTTATTATGTATGGTCATAAAAACTTTTACAGTCATGAAAAATTTTAGCTGCAAATTATATGCATTATTGATCTCTGGTTAACAAAGAAAATAAGACTCTAATCGTAGAAAAAGGCTTCTAAAAAACAAACCTTAAGTTTCTTCAAAATGGATAGAGCTTCCAGTTGAGAAGGATCCACAGGAACTGACACTTTTACTTGCTTAAGCTTTTGTGTAGATACTGAAGCACAAGAAAAACAAAAATATTCAAGACGCATAGGCAAAATGTTCAAAGGGGTTCATTCCGTTTGCCTTCTCTACAACATGAAAAATAGAAGTAAGGACCTGAAGTTACAGTTTCTTCAGAAGTGATTGCATTTTCTTCAGAAATTCCTGTAATCGAATCCTTAGCTTCAATTTTATCTACTTTGCCATCAATTGGACTTATCATCCCATGCAAAGCCCGCAAAGGATTATGAAATTGCAACTTAAAATCTGTAGAAGTACGATATCAATGCACTTCAATTATTAAAATCCAATGACCAATTTCATCAAACAAACACTTTCCATGCCACTATTACCTTTTCTATAAAGGGAGAAGTAGGCAATGGAAGTAACAATAGCAGCAACACAAGTCCCACCAACAATTAGAATTGTAGAGAAACCTACAGTCAATAAAACAGAGATAAAAAAAAAAAAAAACTTCAAATTTCAATTGGTCATCGAATTATTAGATTTATGCAATGGTAAGACCTTTCTTCTTATAACTCGGTCTAGGCGATTCAACAATAGCCCAACCATTACAGCTGTCGTGGGACTGTCCAGGTGAGAACCAAGAGAAATCGCGGTGGTTGTCGGTTAGTGAAGCCGAAAGGCGAAGAAGTCTAGGGCTTTTGGATCTAAGAATGGAGTGTGGAGAAGTTAAAATGGAGAGATTACGGTGTCCTGTGAGAGAGCGAGTACAACTGGTTCGAAGGAAGAGAGAATATGGAGGTGAAGTAGACGAAGAACACATTTTCTCTATGTTTATTTTCTAGGAAAGTGAAATGATCAAATAATCAAAGCATTGAAGATTGCTGTGTGTATAGCGAAGCAAATTGAGTTGAGATGCTTCGGTTTGTGTCGTTTTGCTTTGTTTTTGGTGAGATACACCGTGATTAAGTTTGCGTTTTGTTTTGTTTTGTTTTTGTTTTGTTTCGCTGACAAATATTATTATCCCATCGCTATTTTATTTATGGTCTGTTCCAAACCTTCTTCCAAGAAATAAAAAAATAAAAAAATAAAAAAAAATAAAAAACCGAATCAAATCGAATGTTGAACCCACGAGTTCTTTGTCAAAATCAAAACCAGTTTGAAACAGATTATATTATAATCGGACCAAAATTTTAAGGACCAGCTAATCATAACTGCGAATTCAATCACCGAACCGGCTACTCCTGAAGACAGCATAGGATTTACCAAAGTTCAGCATTTTTTTTAATGTTATGTCAATTGGGAAACCTTTTTTAGTAGAAAAAGAAACATAAACAACAACCAGGAAAGGTTGATGCAAATTAATAAAACCACTGTTTAATTATTTAGATCAGTTAATAAACATTTAAAATTAAATCAAGTTAAACCCAAATTCAAGTAATTAAGGTAACGAGTCTAAGTGAAATTTAAATATTTCAATAATTCAATTTTAGCTATTCATAAATTTAATTTATTGTTAGGATTTGCCATAATTATATATGTAATTTTTAAAATAATAATATAAAATTAATTTAGATTAACAAATAATTTTATTTAAATTTTAATACTAATCAAATCCAGACGAGTTATATTGTTCTGTCAAATCTAGTTCTACCATGAAAAGTAAAAGCCAAATCGAGTTCTCAATCTCAAATTTGTTGAACTCAGAAAGAAACATATGTTGACTCAATTTGAGGACACACCTAATGGGAGATAATGTAATAATGCCTAGCAAAAACTCAGATTACAGTAAACAATTAAAAAGGTTTTATATTTTCAGGAGGGCATCAGCACAGCCCAATCAGCACTTTCCATCCCATCTATACTGCCAATCCTCCAATTTTGTCACTATACTATTCCAAATTATGCAACCAAATGATTTCATCTGTCCGACCAGCAAACGAAAACTTCCAGTTGCAACTACCAATTCAATCGCAATATGAGCTGATTTGGGGATGTAAAAGCAGTAATAAACAGAATACTACAATCATTCAGTTTCAGTGGACGAAATTGCCCACATACTTATGAGAATAACACCACCAACCAATTGATTTATGCAGTTGGAAGTTGCATTTCATATTCTAGTGGACTATAAGCATCCGCTTTATCGATCTTGGGTGTAATGACTGCAAGAATTACACAGCCTCCAAGAACAACAATTAGCATACCCAAAAAGTTCAACAGCAGTGCCTCAGAGGAATAGCGCAATATTACATGGTTGGTTTGCAAGAATGTGGCTTTCTCCAGAATACCTGTAGCCGCAGTGCCGATGGCAAGTGCATATATGTAGATCCCAAAGAACACGTGCCAGGGAAGCAAAGAAGCTCTGCAGTTTACTGAACCACCTGGATACCAAAAGGTTGAAAAGCCAGCAGCCCACTACACAAGGGTAAACAGCAAAATCACAAGAAAAAACTCGAAAGAAAAACAGGCAATTCTTAGAATCCAATTCAAGTCAAGTTCTGCATATAAATGGGTATCCACGGACATATCTAACAAGTTGCATGACATATCACTACAATAAACAGACAAAGTGAATCTCAACCATTTAGAGTTCTGTCCCAAAAATATGCATACACGGACAGTACTTACGTTTTCATTTAGTTGTTTGCCATTGAGGTCAAAAAAAAAAAAAAAAAAAAAAAAAAAAAAGCCCACTACACAAGGGTTAAAACTAGCAAAATCACAAGAAAGACTCGAGAAGAAAAACAGGCAATTCCTTAGAATCCAATTTTCAATGTCAAGTTCTGCATATAAAGGGTATCCACGGACGCATATCTAACAAGTGCATGACATATCACTACAATAACCACGACAAAGTGAATCTCAACCAATTAGAGTGCGTCCCGAAAAATATGCATACACGGACAGTACTTACGTTTTTCATTATTAGTTGTTTTTGCCAATTGAGGGTCAAAAAAAAAAAAAAAAAAAAAAAAAAAAAAAAAAAAAAAAAAAAGAAAAAATCGTTTCTGATGCCTTTGGAAAAAGCTGTAAGGGAATGTTTTGTTTAGTTGGTTTATTGAAACTTCTGTTACTAAAAATTATAAAATTCATCATAAACACAAATTCTAATAAACGTTCTGTTTTTCTCAACAATGGTTCAAAACAACAATGCCAAATAGATCAAATTATAATTCTGCAGAACTACTCCTGCTATTAACATCATATGTTACAGCAAGAAACAAGAGTTTAAAAACCCACATTTAGGTGATTTAAGTAGCAAACTAAATAAGTGAGAGTTCCAACAAGGTGAGGATGCTAGGAGAAAACAAACCTGGGTTCCGAATAGGAATAGACAAGCAAGACCAAGCCACGAATGCAGACTATAGAAATTGTCAATGCCCTTCTCATTATGGAACTTATAAGCAGCCCAAACACCTATCACACTTAAACAAAATGATACAGATTGTATTGCGAGATGCACTGCCTTTCTGAAGTTTTTAGATCGAGAGATTGTCTTGTATGCTAGCATAGCTGCATCAGGTAAATCAAAGTATCCATATTAAATTTCTTATACTACTTGTTTATGATCATTTAACAATGAAACCCAAAATCGATACTTTAGAGTTTAGAGATGGATATGATTCAATCACATGATTGGAAAATACCAAATTCCAAATTTCAAAAGGATGTGTAGGACCCAACTGTGCAATTTAAACAAAAACAAGCTTCAACAAACTCAAGCATGGAATTGAAGAACTCAAAACGAATAGGAAAAATAAAATCTGATAACTTGAAAATATATATTCAATATAAGGATTACCTTCACCGTTCAAAAGAATAAGCCCGATTACCACCAGGACAGGATGGACCTAAAAGAATATAAAACCGACCCAAGAAATGATATTGTATTGCATATAAAAGATCAGAATTAACACTATCACTAAATAAAACAAAGCAGAGAGTGGAGATTACATTGAAGATGAGATCTTTGTTAGTAGAGGACAGAGAGAGACCGCCTCTGAAGTGTAAAGCCCATGTTAGAACCAAAATTGCAACCGCCACTCCAATTACCCTAACCAACGTTGTAACATTCTGAAACCCAATTACGGGAACTGCCATTCTTGGTGTTGAGAATGGTTTCAGGCACAGAGATTGCGAATTCGCTTTCGAGCTGCTGCTGGCCCCAGCCAGTCACGGACCGGCGTTTCTGCTTTTCTCTTGGTCTGGACTCTGTTTGTGGCATTGGATCCTCTCCGTTTAATTTTCTTGCGTTGACTTTCTTGGTTATCATTACAAAATGCACCGTTTAGTTTAGGTGTCTCTTCCCGACTCGTCATTTCGTAATTTTTATTTTTCATTGGTGCTTTTTAATAATTTCACATATATTTTTTTTCACTTTGATTACATGTTTTAGTAAATTTGTTCTTGTCATCTAAAAAATTTTGCAGCCAAAAGACATTTATATCCTTATTTGCAGTAATTTTCAAGTGCATGTACAAAATAGAAACTACATATATACTACTCGAAGAACAGTATCATATTAGCATTTGAATTTATGAAGACAAGTACTTGGTAGTTGAATCTTTGAACATTATTTTGCTTTGAAGAGATTGGCGCTTGGGAGAAACAGCAGCTAATATAATCATACCACTAAGCAACGCCAAGCCAAGTCCTAAACAATTTACAACCATAGATTCTGGTGATCGTTTTGATACATTTCTGTTAGTTTGCAAGAATGTCAACTTCTCCAATAAACCTGTTTCTGCTGTTGCCACTGCCAATCCATATGTGTATAGCCCAAGAAATATGTGCCATGGCAGTACCTTTACCCTCACCATTCTCACCTCTCCCCTGTTCCAGAAGCTCAAGAAACCCATCAGCCACTGCATTTCAAATCAAGAAAATGAATCAACAACTCACTAGTTAAGCATTGTTATTGAAAAATTTACTGTATGTGAGATATGTAGAACATAGTACTTTTTTCGTGGATTCTATTGCTTTGATTTAATTTTAGGATAAATTAATATCTTGTCTCTTCGATCTCTTGTTCAGTAAATATGTTGATTATTCCAGAAATTAAACTATTTAGTCATTCGTCTAAAAATGTCTTTTTCACTATTTAGTGAGGGACTAAATAGTAATTTAATAATAAATATGAGAGAAACTAAATAGTAATAATAATATGTTAAATTTTAAAGACCAAATAATCAAATATTAAAATATAATATAACTTTTAAAATATCACATTTTGGATGGAATAACCAAATAGTTTAACGAAAATAAACAACAACTAATCAATTTATTTATTAAATAAGAGGAATAAATTATAATTATTACCAACCAAATATGAGAGAATAATGGTCCCATAAAGGAAAAAGACAATGGGAACACTATGAGTGTTCATCAAACCTCCCAAACCGCTCTAAAACAGCAATTTTAAAAGATTAATGATTCGGTTTAATTTTGTAAAATTTAAAGATCGAGCTTTTGGTTTGGTTTACAGTTTTAGAGTCAAATCATGTGTATTTTATGGCATATATTATACTAAGTATATACATATAAAAAATTAATTTAAAAACTTTTAATAGCTATTTAAAATCATGGATATTTTATGGCAAAATTTTTGTTAATTCATTTTTCATATTTAGTATAATATTAATCTTTTTTTTTTTTTCTTGTTAACTAGATGAACGTGGAAGTTTAATTTCTCTTATTTCAAACCGCAGAAACGGCCAAATCAAATCAAATCAAACCACCGCCAAAGGTTTGGCTTAGTGTAAAATTTTTTATAGTTTGATTTGAATTTAATTTTTTTCAAGCTGTCACTTTAAGTTAGTTCGATTATTATATTCAAACTGACCCCATGTGAAACACTACATGCTTCATAGTTCAAGGCTTCTTGCTTTAATAAGCATACTAGCAAGGATGTATTATCATTGAAATGGACACATTGCTTTGTCATAACTTTAGGAAAGAGAAATAAAGAAGAGTTTAAAATAGCTAAATTAGCCTACAGTGCACTAAAAATAATTGAAACAAATAATTAAATTTTGCTATTGCTTGTTAATTGCAATTAAAGCCAAAGTTTGTGAATAGGATGGTCCATATATAGATAGCACTGCCAAGCCATTAACGCTCATAATGACGTTACCCATCTAAAATCACTAAAGCCCTGGCCCCACCAATATATAGAATAAAAAAAAGGAGTAAATGGTAATTTTGCAAAAAGCAAATTAAAATTAAATTGAAGGAATGAGAAAGAAAACCTGAGCTCCAAACAAGGAAATGCAGATTAAACCCATCCAAGAATGCAGACTAAAGAAATTAGCTACAATCCCATCTTTGCCTTGAAACCTTGTCCAAATACCAAAAATGCCACAGCCCAAAGCCAATCCTTGAAGGCACAAATGCACAGATTTCTTCAAGCTCTTTGAGCCAGGCAACCACCTGTGCACTAAAATTGCTGAAATCACCAAAAACTAGTTAATTAATCCCATTTCTTGAGCCAATCTCTTGATTACAAGGAGTATAATTATTTATACTTAAGAGATTAATTATGTACCTTCACCACTAATGAGAATAAAACCGATTACCATTAACAAAGGATGGAGAACCTGCAAAAGCAAGAAAAAAGAAAAGCACCATTAATGGAGGTTCGAGAAATGCAGATTTTTTTCGGTGGGTTCAAGAACTTCATTAATTAATTCAAGAAAAGGGAAGAAATAGTGAATACTGCATAAATGAGGTCTTCATGAGAGGAAGACTGAGGAAGAAAGCTGGATTTGAAAAGAAGAGCCCAAGAAATGACTAAAGCAGCAACTATGAGACCTGAGATTCTTGCAAAGAAGAGAAGTGGAAATAGTGAAGGAGATCCAGTAGCTGCCATGGATAGATTCTTTTGTTTTAGACACTGAGCCTACTCTTCACCGACGCTGAGTAGAAAGTAGAGAGCTTAGAGCTGTGGTCCTGTGGATCCACTTACTTGCTCTACTACTATCATAACTAGGGAATGGGTTTTGGAATTCTTTATTAAAAAACAGGCGGGTTAGATTCTCATATTACTATACTATGTTTTGGATAATGAAATTTGTTGTTTGATAGATATAAATTCTGGATAGTAGTGAAAAATTAAATAAAATATATTATGCTTTTGTGGCCCTGAGATACTCATGCCACGTGCGTTATTTTGTGTCTTTTCATCTGGGTGTTATTTTGTTTCTTTTCATCTGGGAAAAAAAAGTTAGTTATATATTTGTAATTATATTATGTTCTCTAAATAAAAAACATTAAAAGTCTAAAATTTTTTAAAAATATATATATTTTCTAATTTTGTTCTCTATAACGAAGTAAAATTATTTTTTGGTTCTCTAATTATTTGGATTGAGTCTATCATGCTTATAAGATTAAATCTAAAAAATCACTATTGTGGGGAAAATTTGCAATAGATTTTTTATTGCGATTCTAGCCATTTTAAAATTGAAATTGAAATCAACCAATTTTTTTAGTTGATTTCAATTTGATTCCAATCTATAACCAATCGATAGTAATCCTATCTAACAATATATAGGATTATTGAATATACAGTTTCAACATTTTTTAAAAGCGCATAGTGAAAAAAGGACAGTTGAAAAAAGGAAAAAGTTAATTTTATGAAAATATAAGTATTTAATATAATATTCATAATATTAGTTGTGGATTAATCTACCCATTTAATGAAGGATTTGTTTAAGTAATAAGATTTAGATTATTCCTCGAACTTGAAAGCAATGTATAATTTATCCAAAAATTAATATTTTGTCCAATTTATCTCTAAAACTTAAAAAAATAAAAATAAAAATTTCATTTTCTAGAAAAATTTAAACAAAATAAAAATTTTGGTTTGAATCAAATATAATTAAGAAGTAATAAAATATTTGATTAAAATCAAATATCATTAAAAAAGATAAAAAAGAATAAATATTTTTCAAACCAAAATTCAATATAATCAATATTTTTATGATCTTATAACATTTTAAATGAGATATTTTGTTAATTACACTGTAATTTTTTATAATTATTTTTTTAGTTTAAACTTTAATTAATAATTTTATTAATTAGAAATATGAAAAAATTATTTTTTTAAAAAATTATTTTTTTAGTGCAACTTCAGATGGTAAATTATAGAAAAAGTTATTTTTTCGATAAATTATATATTGCATCCAAATTTAGGTGGAGATTGAGTCTTTTTTTTTTTTTTTTTTAAAATAATTAAATAAAAGAAAGACTTCACTCTGTTTTTAGTTATCCGTTGAGTAACGGAGTTGCTTTGCCATTAAAGCCGTTGACTTTATACATGTTTTTGTGGGGAATCAAATAGTTTTGTTCTTCTACATGTATGGAATGGAAGCACATTCACCATTTTTATTTCTTCTGCAACACCCTCCAATCTAACTTGTTATAAATCAAAAAAATTAGCCTTTATTGATAAATTATAAGCATTTCAAATAACACACCCCTTCACAAGAATTTCCAAGATTGAATTTTTGTTTCTTGCATGTTAAATCAAAAAGGAGATTTCTAAAATTTGAAATTGTTTTTATTTGATAAAAAAAAATCAATTTAATACATATAAATCACTAATCTTTCGTTTTATTTGGGATCTATTCAGTAATATTAGCTAGTAACTAATATAATAGTAAATTATTTATAATAATCAAATTAAAAGTAAATTAAATAATATTAATTATTTTGAATAATCCCTGAATTATGCTTTTGGTGCTATTAGTGGGACTCAATAGAAAAATCAGACCAATTTAGGTTCCGGTCAAGGAATAGCATTAAAATGCCACGTGGGAATTTTTTATAATATGTATGTATTTCAATGTGGACGACGGCAACATGAAATTTATACTTTCTGTAGTATCAAAATTACAAAAAAGATTATATATTACACAAAAAAGCACTTAGTCAAAGTCAAAGCCAAAGCCAAAGCCTTGCGTTTAACAAACGACAAATGTAAAAACTAAACCGTCCGCAAAAAACGCCAATGCCTAACGTATGCATATAAGATTCCTATATAGATCCAGAGCAAGAAAGTAACATTACAAGAGAAATGGAATTCCACAGCAAAGACTTCAAGGTAGGCAAATGCGCAGGCCAGAAGCTAGTGGATGGCGAGACAATGCCACTAGTTCTACATCCGCCGGAGCCTGAAAAAGGAGACGTTGAGTCACTGTTGTTAGCTTTAAAGAATAACAGAGACTGGTATGAGCAAATGATGATCAAGAACAGTGCAGTCCTTCTTCGAGGTTTCGATGTAAAGAAAGCAGAAGATTTCAATGACATTATTGAAGCTTTGGGTTGGGAAGATATTCGTTATGTAGGGCCTGCACCAAGAACTCATCTGTATAAACGAGTATGGACTGCGAATGAAGGTCCTCTCTCTGAGTTTATATACTACCACCATGAAATGGTTTTGGTAAGTTTAGTTATGTTTTAAAGAAAACCATTAATTAGAAATTTGTGATTTACGGATTTTATATACCAAGAAATCCTGCAATTGAAAAACAGATAACTGAATGTCCAAAGAAAGTAGTACTTTTCTGTGAGATACCACCGCCAGAAGGAGGGCAGACTCCATTTGTTCCAAGCTTCAAAGTTACAGAAAGGATGCTAAAGGAGTTCCCTCAAGAAGTGGAGGAGTTGGATAAAAAGGGCGTAAAATACACTTTCACTGCACTGAGCAAGAATGACACTTCATCCATGAGAGGTAGAGGTTGGGAGGATGCGTTTGGAACGACAGATCGCATAGAAGCCCAAAAAAGGTACATGTAGCATTTTTCTTTGATCTAAACAAGCTAATTTCTTTAGTAGTAGTTACTAATTAATTTTCTTATTTGGCAGGGCAAAGGGACTAGGAATGGATGTGGAGTGGCTACCAAATGGTGGAGCAAAAACGATACTTGGTCCAAGACATTTAACGAAAGTGTTTGATGGAAGAAAAGGGAGGAGAATGTGGTTTAACACAGTAGTTGGGATGCATGGGAAGGAGCTGAGCTCAGCTTTCATGGCAGATGGGACTGAAATCCCTGAAAATTTTGTGAAGAGATGTGAAGAAATCATTGAAGACGAAAGCATACAATTTAATTGGGAAAAGGGTGATGTTCTTTTTCTTGATAACTTGGCTTTGCTTCATGGAAGAAGACCTTCTTTGCCTCCTAGGAAAATCCTTGTTGCCACTTGCAGATAATTTGGATTAGTACCTGCTTGGATATCTTAATTTGACTATCTTGTACTCTTTGAGAATGAATTAAATTTTATATTTTGCATGCTAAATGTATGCTCGTTTGTTAAATAAATTTTGTCCATTTTTAATTAGGAGTTTATTTGTGTAAGTATTGATTTTTGAAGGTTGAATGTACAAAGTTTTACTGTTCTAAGAATTTAAGTATGAAGCAGAAACATTATAGAGTCTATTGTCTTTCTGAATATAAGATCCGTCACAAATATAAGCTTTTTTTGGGTGGTTATTTTTTTTCAAAATGTAAGACGATTTGAATATTTTAAAAGGTAACAAATAATAATTTTACAATGTAAAGCAAAGAGTTATATGCAAAATAACTTAACAAGAGCCAAACTAAAATAGTTACATGCAAACTGAAATATATGCATGACCTTAATAAAAAGATTAATTTATAGCTTATCATGTTGAGATATTCACTAAAATGAAATGTTGGAAATCATGAAACAAAAAAAAATATATAATTCTTTATTCAAATAATTATTTTTTTACTGATTTTATATTTTTTTTTCTAACTGAACACAAAAATAAATTTGTATTTTAATTAATCACTAGACCAGTCGACAGGTTTGTGATAGGCTTTTTCGCATTTTCGCAAGTGTACGAAATCGCAAACAAATAATAAAGAGTAAGTTGAGTATCATCCCACGAAAATTGTATACCAAGTACCAAAATTGTGTTAATCTATTAATATTTAAACGATAATAAGATAATGTATTTGAAAATAAAGAATTAAAGTAAAAACAATAAGAATAAATATTTGTAACATATGTAAAGCAAAGATTATATGCAAAAATAACTTAACAAGAAGCCCAAACTAAAAGTTAAGATTACATATGCAAACTGAAATACTATCATTGACTTTAAAAAAAGATTAATTTTATAGCTTATCAATGGTTTGAGAATATTCACATGTAAAATATGAAAATGTTGGAGAATTCATAGAAAACAAAAAAGATATATATATTCTTTAATCTCCACAATAATTACTTGTTTTACTAGATTTTATAATTTTTTTGTTCTTACTGAACATCAGAGAAAATAGAAAATTTGTATTTAATTAATCAATCTAGACCTCGACACCCGCGCAAAGTTGTGAATAGATGGAACTTTTTTTTTTTTATCTTTTGTCCTTGTTTCCTCCCCCATTCGCGAATTTTCGCAAGTGTATTCGAAATTCTCGCAGAACAAATAATACAAGAGTTAAGATGAGGTACCAAAGCTCATAAGCTCTCATTCGAAAAAATTGTAATACCTAAGTACTCCGAAAATGTTAGTTAATCTATTAATCATTTAAAAACGATAATAAAGATAATTATTATTGAAAATAGAATTAAATAATAACATATAAGAAATAAAAATCAAGCAAAAAATTGTTGAAAAGAAAATAAAGGATTAAATTACTGTCAGGGAATTTTGATTTCAACATTGTCGAGATTGCACTTTAATGATTGTTTGATCCTTAGATGGACTTGTGTGTATTTATATCTTCGATTTATTAGGATGTGATGCTATGGAGTAGTAGTCTTTAGTTTATGTATTGAGCCGGGACGGTGCATATAGCTTGAGTGACACGGTATTGTGTAATACTGTTATCAGACGGTTGTACTTCGTACTATCGGAAATAGAGATACTAAATGGGCGAATTCTGCCAGTTTATCCTACTATTTTCGATAATTCAATTTTAAAAATTATTAAAGAATGAAAATAACCATCTTAAAATTTCGCTAATAAGCTCCTCTCGAGATTTAATTAAGCTATTTTAAACCCCAATTCAATTATTCCATTGCTCAATCGGCGTCCAAGGAAGAAACATTATGATTATAATCATCTAAGTACTGTTTGTGATATATTCAGTGAATCACGAAATTTAAAGTATTTAATTCTATGAAAAACCATTCCACGAGTCAAACCAATCTAGCTTTCAAACCAAGTACCAAAATTGTGTTAATCTATTAATATTTAAACGATAATAAGATAATGTATTTGAAAATAAAGAATTAAAGTAAAAACAATAAGAATAAAATCAAGCAAAAAGTTGTTGAAAAGAAATAAAGGATTAAAAATTACTAGGGATTTTGATTTCACTCAATTCTGTCCAGTTTATCCTACTAGTTTGATAATCAATTTTAATTATTCAAGAATGAGAAATAACCTTAAATTCGCTAATAAGCTCTCTCGATATTTATTAGCTATTTTAACCCAATTCAATTATCCATTCTCAATGGCGCAACCAAACATAGATTAAATCATTAAGTACTTGTGATTATTCAGGAATTCACAAATTAAAGTATTTAATTCTATGAAAACCTTCCACGAGTCAAACCATCTAGCTTTCACATTAAGTTGTTATTCTCGTGAAATTTATTATCCTGTTCATATCAAAAACCCTTCTCTCGATAGTGATTAATGAAATAAATCAATCCAGGGCAAAAACTTTACATGGAAGTATTAAGATCAATAATAAATTTTACTTGAATAAAGAAAATCAAATCTAATATTATAAACTGGAGTTGAAATAAAGCTACACTATATCCCTAGTAAAGAGTCAACACAGTGAATAAATCAAACTCAATTAAATTTGTAAATAATCCCATAAAGAATAATAAACAAAAAGAAAATTTAGAAAAAAAAACTAGTCAACGATTGGCTTGAATAACTTCCTTGAATCTTGACACCAACTTAAATACTTGAAGTCTTAAAGAGGGAGAAAACTATTTAAAAAATAATAGAACAAGAGATGAAATATGTAATGGATGTCGTCCCCCGATTATGGTTAGTCTTTTTCTTTATATAGACTTTCTGGAATATCTTTGTGTTCGTTTAAAAAAGTGAATCCCTATTGAGTAAGAAATCTTTTGGAGATAACAAACTGTTTAGATTTTGTATTTCTTCTCAACTAGGACTCTCTCAGCGTCTAAATAGGATTTAAGTTTGATTAAGCACGTTCCATGATATTCTCATACAAGCAGCACGGGCTAAAGCTGAAAATTTCGGCTCAAGTTGAATTCTGCAGATTAGCACGGGGTGATAATTAGCAAACCCTGGGTGTGCTATTTGTTGGAAGTCTTTGACAATTGATCATCTCTTGCATTTTTAGGTGGTTTTCTATAAAAATTTTACAAAATTCTTCAAGATTAAGTGAAATATGATTCAATGAAACTTTATTGAAAAACCTAAATAAAAATAAATAAAAATTAATTAATGTAATTAAAAATATTAAAAATCATAGTAAAAACTATATTAAAAATACTATAAAAATAACAACTATCAATTTGGCCTAATCATGTTTCGGTGCTTGTTTAGAAATTTAAAAAGCAATTAGTCAAAGTCAAAGCCAAAACCAAAGCCTTGCGTTTAAGCAAAGAAGTTTTATTTATGTCCTTTTATGCCATGGTATCTTTCTAAGTAAAGAAGTTTAACGAAGGGAATCATATATTATTCAGTAGCTGATGGTTTGTCTAATGAGGCTTTGAAGATGAGTAGAGGCTTCCATTTGGTGCATTCACGTTCTGCCATGATTTCCTAACTTTTGGATGGTGATAGAGCTGGGTTTTTTTTATAAAAAATAACTTCCTTTTAGATATTTTTCGAATAATTTATTTTGCGTTATTTGATTGCAATATTAAAAATTAATTAATTCACTATAAAAATATTATTAACAATAAAATTTTTTTATTTTAAAAATTTTATTATTAAATATGAGAAAAATGCAAAACAATGGTAAATTATGAAAGTCGATGATGACCAGTGGTGGTGGCCGAGGATGGCTGGTGATGAACAGTGGTGCATGGTAGTGATAATTAATAAATTAAAAAATATGCATTTATAAGTTTATAATAAATTTGTAAATGTCCAAAAAATATTTTCTTCTTTTAAAAATGGCAAGTCATTTTCTTTAAAAATAACTTAATTTTTCTTTGATTAGGAAAATATTTTCTGTTACCTTATTTTTTTAATGCCCAAAAAATAAAAATTGTGGAAAATTATTATTCTGTAAGTTATTTTACGGAAACTAACAGAGATTTAATACCCTCTTTAAAAGTTAAAAAAAGAAAAAGAAAAATCATAACAACTATGAAGAAAAGCTTCTAATATAAAGTAAATATATTTAAATAAAAGATAGCCTATCAAACATCCTAACTCAAACAAAAATAAAAATAAAAAAAATACAGAAGAGAACAAACAATAACGGCAAAGAAAAAAAAAAAAAAAATCAAAGCTAAGAAATAAGCTTAATACTAAGTTCTAACAATCGTCAAGCAAGAAATGCCAATTAAGTATCGAATCCCACAACGGCCACATTACATGAAAATAATTTGTTTATTGGAATAAAAACCAACAACAATTAATTTCCAAAATGTAAAACCAAAAATCATATATAATATAGTATTAGAGTAATTAGTAAATCTAATCTCCTGTAAGTAATTTCTTGTTCTTTCTACCTTTCTTTCTTGTTATTTTTGTCCTTTTATGCCACAAGTTTCTTGAAACTTTTAACATTGGTCGAACAAGAAGTATGAAATGGGGGTGAGCATTCGGTTAATTAAGTTGAATCAAATCGAATTAGCTAAATTTCTATATCAAAATATGTGTTGATAGTATCCAAATTCGAACCCAAATGATATAATAATTGATTTAAATCAAATTAAATCGATTTAGTTTAATTTAAATTCGGTTATTTTAAATCAAATTAGTTATTTTTAGCTTAAAATAAATTTAAATTGTCATATACAGTGACCAAATTAAGAACTAAGAATCAAACTTTTTATATACCCAAACTGATCGGTAACTGAATTTCTAAAACAACTATCGAAATTCGACCAAATTGAATGAGTTTGATTCGATTCTCGATTAAAAATCAAGAATTGCCCACCCCTGTTGCCAGAGAATTGAATCACAGTACAACCATTACATTACAACTCATTATTTTAAAGAATTCGAACTCGACATTCTCACTCTCTACGTCTTTTATAAAACATAAGAAAACTAATCAAACAACACCAGAATAACCATAAATTATATAATTACAAGGTAGTTATCTAGAAATTTTCATATTCAAATAAACCATAGCATACTCAGGTACTCACAACTAGAGAATCCTTAAAAAAATATATCAATTAATTTGTCCTCTCAAGTAAATAAAAATAAAAATGTAATTTGATATTGTAAAATCCACAATAAATCGATATTACTAAGGGAAACTGATATTTTAATTCCACAAAACGGCATCAAATTAAATAAGAATCTCCAAAAATATAAATCTCCATCGAAAATGCCAAGTTCCCAGCCACATCACCTTAACTCATTTATGTAACATAGCGATCAAAACAACCAAAAAATCCCACTATATATACCCATCTCCATTGAATTAAAGATCACAAAACAAGAAAACGAAAAAAGCATCATTAAGACCAAAAATGGAATTCCATAGCAAAGAATTCAAGGTAGGCAAATGCGAAGGTCAGAAGCTAGTGGACGGCGAGACCATGCCTCTAGTGCTGCAGCCGCCGGAGCCGGAAAAGAGAGACGTTGAATCGCTGTTGTTGGCTTTAAAGAATAACAGAGACTGGTTTGAGCAAATGATAATCAAGAACAGTGCAGTCCTTCTCCGAGGTTTTGATGTAAAAAAAGCAGAAGATTTTAATGACATTCTCGAAGTTTTTGGTTGGGAAGATATTCGTTATGTAGGACCTGCTCCAAGAACTCATATATATAAACGAGTATGGACTGCTAATGAAGGTCCTCTCTCTGAGTTTATATACTATCACCATGAAATGGTTTTGGTAAGTTTATATATTACCCACTTTTCATATTTGTTTCTTCACTTCGTATATTTCCGGTAAAAGAATTTATATTTGGAACCATGAAACATGTTCCTGAAAAAACTTTGGTGCAGTGACATTATATTGTAGCTATAGCAGATATTTTGTCTTATAAATAATAATCAAAACCCATTGGTTTTTTATCTTTTTCCAGATAAAAGAATTTCCCAGGAAGGTAATTCTTTTCTGTGATATTCCACCACCAGAAGGAGGACAGACACCGTTTGTTCCAAGCTTTAAAGTTACAGAAAGAATGCTAGAGGAGTTCCCTGAACAAGTCGAAGAAGTTGAAGCTAAAGGGCTCAAGTACACTTTCACAGCTCTTAGTAACAATGATACTGGATCCATGAGAGGTAGAGGTTGGGAGGATGCTTTTGGAACATCAGACCGTGCAGAGGCCGAAAGAAGGTACATATATATACACATCCACTTCTTCATATAGCTTTAGTTAATTTTCTGCATTAATATGTAATTTAACAGGGCACAAGCTCTGGGGATGGATATGGAGTGGTTGCCCAATGGAGGAGTGAAGACAGTATTAGGTCCAAGATCATTAACAAGGGTGTTTGATGGAAGAAAAGGAAGGAGAATGTGGTTCAACACAATGGTTGGGATGCATGGGAAGGAGCTGAGCTCAGCCTTAATGGCAGACGGAACTGAAATACCAGAAAAGTTTGTGAAGAGATGTGAGCAAATTATTGAAGAAGAAAGCATCCAGTTCAAGTGGGAGGCAGGTGATGTCCTTTTTCTTGATAACTTGGCTTTGCTTCATGGAAGAAGGCCTTCTTTGCCCCCAAGAAGAGTGCTTGTTGCCACTTGCAAGTAGCTGTTCTTGTTTTGCAAGTAAAAGAAATATATATATATATTTCTTCCAGTTACAAAGAATAAAATGTGGAAGGAATTAGATTGACTTCCATTAATTTGTATTGCCATTTGGCTTTCGATAAATGCATCCTTCAAATGCTTGAATGAAATAATAAGTCTTTTTGTTATATCAGCAGCATAACTATGAAAATGGATCACGGTATAATAAATTGCAATGTATACAAAATTTATATTGTATCACCGAATCAATTAATGCAATGTCCCACTTATTAACTAAATCAATTAAAATAGAAAATTTTCATTTCACCAAATCAGTTAAAATAGAAATTTTTGCGAAAACGATAATATTTATCACTTTACACTGAAAAAAAAAAAAAGATACAATAGAAATAATTTTTTAAAAAATTCATATTTTTATTGATTTTGTTTATAGATAGACTATGAATCCGATCTAAATAAGTATTTTTCTCAATTTATCATCAAAAAATCATTTAAAATATGAGGAAACACTTACCTACACCGATACATGGACCCATCACGCCAGTCAAAATCACGTTTTCATTGTAACGAGGGGGTATATGTAACAATTTAGTGAGAAAAAAAAAATAACAATTTTTTTAAAAAAAATCTATGTGAATTGGCTTTTTTAAATCAATTTTATCCATTATATCTAAAATCACATTATCGCACCTAAAATTCAATTTGTCACGTAAATATATATCAACTTCTATTGAAATTTATAACATTAAGCAGCTAACAACATTAGAAATTTGAATAGCAGTTAACTTCTATTACATTGAGAAATCTTTGGAAGGATTTTTTTTTTTTTAATTTTAGAAAAAAGACTTATTCTACCTCCTAAACTTGAACCAAATATCCAAATTGCTCAAAAATTAATTTTTGCCAAGTCACACTCTAAAGTAGATGCAATTGCTCAATTCACCCGCCAAATTTCATGAAATGCATTGCGTAATCCCAACTCCTTGCCAACTCAACTTCTTGCCTTCTCCTCCTCCACTTCTTCCTCGTGCTCTTCCTCTAATTCTATTGCATATGCCATGTCAGCAACAGCTTAATTTTAGTCTTTGTTCCCTTATTCACATCTAGCTACTTAAAACCAACACTCGTAATCCCACAGCTATCTTCCACTTCAATATTCATAACTCTATCTTTATCTTTATTATTGCTATTGTTTGCATTTGCACGCCATTTAGATGTGATAGCCAGCTTGTCGAAGCAATAGATATCAAATAAACCATCATATCAAATTTAGCTGATGAATTCTCAATGGTATCACTTGAAGCATGAGTAACTATAAAAAGATCTCACAGGAGGACATTAAGAAGAGTGGGGAGATAGTTGGAAGAGTTCGAACACAGTCGACCGAGTCAAATTGGATCGATGAGTTCGGCTCGGGAAGTCATGGGTTAGCTTGTTGGGGAATGGATCATAAACAAAGAAGTGAATTGCTGATTAAGAATCTTGAATGGGTTTATAGATCTCAAGAGGCAAGTAAAGTTAAATGCAAACTGTTGATTCCATGATTAAAATGGTTTAGGCAAATTATCAAACATTTGGCGTATATAAAATAAAGGAATTGCGACAATTCTATAAGGTTATTATTAATGGCTACCAAAAAATAGCTCGCAAGATAAAATCAATACCCAAGCTAAAGAAACTAAACAGAGAAATTAGGGAGTGGAAAGTTCAGAAGCTGCCCGCACCGGAGCTTGTTTGACAATATTATAAAAGATTGGTGCCAGAATTGCCATGGTTAGGCTAAAAAAAAAAGACAAAAAAAAAACAAAAGGTTCTAATCATTGCGTCAAATTCTTAATCCAATTACATTTTAAGAGATATGATCGGCCACTACGCTCCTTTACAATTTGCATATAATTAATTTCCAGTTGCAAATGAGTGCAATCTTTAAGCTTATAGTCGAAAAAAAAAAAAAGGGACATATTTGGAACGAAAACAAAACAATATCGAATATTAATGCCATTTGTGAGACAAGACTGTACTACAGCATAAAGTTAAAATTTATAACTTTTAACTTGATACCCTAATTACATGATCCTTGAAAGCCAAACATAAAGAAATAATTAAGAATTTGAAGAATAAAAACCTGTTGAATTTTCAATCTCTCAATTATGTTTCGACGATCTAGTCTAGACTTTAAACGATTGCAAATCAATGGTAAAATAGAGTCGGGATAAACGTAAAAAACAAATCAACTCAATTTTCATAGCACTGAATTCAATAAACGAGAAACCAAAGATAAGAAATCTGCGATAACACCTGAATGGTAAACAAACAATTCTTGTTTCAATTGAAATATTATGCTGCTTCATTAGCTCCACTGGGACTGTTAAACGAAAGGGAATGCAAATGGACAAAATAAGAAACACAGAGCACATCCTACCCTTTATTCTCTATCAGAAAAACACACTGCAAGCATAGCCCTATATTAGTCTGTTGCTTGACGGGCAATTGGGCACTAAGTTTACCCCACTTACTATTTTCAAAATACTGACCACTGCCTAAGAGGTTCGATTAGGCATGCCCCGGCCCCTGCCCCTCCCAGCATACCCATACCCATACCCATACCCATACCCATAGCTATATCCCCTTCCATGATAAGATCCACGAGAACGACCGCCACGTGGAGTACCACGACCGCCCCTGCCTCCTCGGTACCTTTGAAAGTCGCCAAAAGTCTGCAACATCAAACAAGCACCAGATGCTGAATATTGTCCACAAAATCTCTCAAAGGTTAGAAGAGGAAATACACATGCAGACAATACCTCGGTGTCTATTTTCATTTGCTCAGAGAATTTAGTCCTTCCATTATGAGAATCATGATCAAGTGCATTGCAGGAGAGAGAATCAAAAAAGTCATCCTTGTTATAGACAGGCTGAAACAATGAAAGCAATTTGATAACACAATGAGTAAGAGAAAAGCAAATAGAAAATTTTCTTTTAACAACAATTTACTTAGCATCAGAGAGAACAAAACAGCGTGCTGCCACCTTAACCACAACCTTAGTTACTTCATCATCATCTTCGTCTTGAGAATCATCTTCATCACTGTCTTTTCCATCTTCTTTGTCCTTTGAATGAGATTTGCTACTCTTACCAAGATGACCCCATACTTCATCCTTCTTGAATTTCTCATTCATTGCCGTAAAATCAAAATCCTCAGTAAATTTTGTCACAGGACGTGAAGTCTGCACAAGCAATGTTCAATTTCCATGTTGTAAGACTCAGTTTTTGATTCCCAACAAAAATCACAAAATCATTGTGCAGATGAAGATAATTCGAGAACCATAATTTGCGACTAGCTGGAAAGCTCTAAATGCAATTTGAATGGCAATCTAACTATCAAGATCTAAGATGCATAATGCGATCAAAATCCCACTGTTCGAAATCTTCAGTTGAGAATTTGAAGTTCCCACATTGTTTGGAAATCAAACTTATAGTGATTTATATGGAGAAAGTGCATGATGGCATTACCCCAGTTCCTCTTCCTCTTTCACGCCCCCTGTAACCATGACGGGAATGGAAAGGAGCCCCATTAGGCTGGAAAGGACACAAAAATGAGTGTTAGTACTCATACAGTTAAATAATCATGAAGCTGCTCAGCTTAGTTTTCAGCAGAAGTGAACAGTCCATCAATATATTTTTCTGACCTTGATTACTTTACACAAGTTCAATTTGTTGTGTATAGATTATGCACGGTGCTAAGTCTACAAAGCATGCACCATTCACATGCACATAAAGAGCAAAGATGGGAAAATAGAGCATGTTTTGTTTTGAAGACATACCTTCTGACTTGTCCGTGCTGGAACAGGTAATGGGAGAATTGGCGGCTGAGCTTCACTAACGACCGGCACCAATGGTTCAATTGATGATGATGATGATACTTGAACCACCTCCACATCTTTATGAGCCGTTTGCACAGGTTGTGATGAAGGGACTGTGGCAGGTCCAGACTGCAATAGTTGACCTGGAGTTACCAATGAAGGTGTTGGTGCTTCTGAGCGAAGAGAATTAGAGGCCATAGTTGAAGATGTAGATTGTGCAGCAGTTTGATATGGGATTGTTGGAGCTGATATAGCATTAGGCTTGTTAGAGATTGGTGGCAAAATGGTATTTAATTCTGAGCCAGAGGATGTCAAGGCAGATAGTACTGGCAAGCTGGAGCTTAAATTGGCTGGAGGAAGTGCAGTGCTAGAAGTCTTGTTAGGAATCAAACTTGGCAACGTTTCAGAAGCTAGAGTAGCAGATGGCACTGGGGGTAAAGTTGAAGGCAATGTTGGCGGTACAGGTGCTGAGGAAGGTGTAGGGGCTAAATTAAGGGAACTAGTACTTGCAGAAAGTAAAGGAGAAGGAATATCTGGTAGTGAAGATGGCAAGTTTGTACCAGGTATGTTTGAAGTAGGCAAGTTTGCAGCTGGCAAGTTTGAACCCGGTATGTTTGAAGTAGGCAAGTTCGAAGCAGGCAAGTTTGGGGCACCAGCAGGTAAAGGAGGATTGTAGTTTTGATATTGCATTGGCTGCTGCATGGAGGGAGGCATAGACAGCCCAGGTGGTGGTCGAAGCAAAGATTGCTGGTGTAAATGAGGAAGCCCATTTGGAGGGCCATAGTAACCTTGCCAATACATTGGCATAGCAAGCCCACTACCATTTGCACTAGGGGGAGCAGGAGAAGCTCCCCAAGTTCCTATGGTCCCTCCAGGTTGATATAAAGGCAGACCACCTTGGAAATTAGACCCAGGTAGTCCCATTTGTGCATTATGAGATCCTATATCAGTCAAAGGCCCACTAACAGCAGGCGGCAAGCTAGCAGATGTAGAAACTGGACGAGGATAGTGAGACTGCATGAGGGATCAGACTCATTAAAGAGTGGTGTTGATAGGTCAAATAGAATAGTCCATCAAGTAACTAGAACTATTCTTTCCATTACCTGTATAATAGCTGGATCATTGTTTATAGGTGGGGTAGGCTGAACAGGGGGAGAAGACTTAACCTGTAGGTCCTGCAGAACGAAATAGAAAAGGAAACTCAGGGATATAATGAAACCATGAACAGCTCTAAGAGTACGTGAGTCAATGTAGCCAAACTAAGGCTGAAGAAGCAGTAGAAACCGACCGACGTCACCAGCAAAAGCAAATTTCTTTTTTGACTTAATTTCAACTTAACAAATGTAAAATATGTAAAAAAAAAAAAAAAAAAAAAAAAAAAAGGACCGACGTCACCACGCAAAACAAATTTCTTTGTTGGACTAAATTTCAACTTAAACAAATGTAAAAATATGGTAAAAAAAAAAAAAAAAAAAAAAAAAAAAAAAGAAGAAGCATTTGCATTTGAGATAAACTTTCGTTAAAAAAAAAAAAAAAAAAAAAAAAAAAAGAAGAAGCATTTGCATTGAGATAAACTTTCGTTAGAGAGTCAGATAGAAATTTTGAAAATAACATCTTTCTCAAATTGATATTTTAGTCGCCTTAGTTTAAGATGATGACTTCCAAAATGGGTGAAGTGTAAATTTGTGTAAACCTTAATGTCACTTCTACACTTGTATACTTGCAAGCACAACAATTTTCATAGAGATAACCTTTCTTTAGAAATTTTGACAATAACATCCTTTATGTAAATGATATTTTGATTGCAAGCACAACAATAACATCTTCACAAATTGATATTTTTGATTGCATTTTTCAGATGATAACTTCCAGAACAAGTGGAGTGTTAATTTATGTAAATGATACCTTAATGTCACTTCCACGGAATAGTATGTATTCATAAACTTTATCACTGGGAGGGATTTGTGGACCATCTTTTTTCCGTCCTTCTGTTCCAAATGACCGCACTGCCAACATAGAATCAACATAGAGAAGTTATTACTTCATTACCTTTCTTCTGTACAGCTCAAGAATGAACAAAAGAACTATTCCCCAAACAAAAAAATTAAGCACTGTACCTTAAATCTGAAACCTAATTAGTTTTTATGTATAAAAATTGCAGGAAATAATTGCAGAAAAGACAGTTCAGCGAGTGTCTAACGCTAACCTCTGCTTATAATTGACAGAATTAGCTAATCCTACTTCAACCTCAAATTGGATTTATATAAATGCCAAAACTCAACCACACATTTCAAAAACAAAACCTAAAATAACTAGCAGAGAAGCTAGCAGAGTCAACGGTAGCAACAAAATCAGTAATACATAACTATACACATCAAACATTGAAAAGAGGAAGCGAAATCAAAGAAGATAACTAAAAACCCCCAAATTAGGGACAAACGATACCGTTTTTCAATCCAATACTGGATTCTTCCGTGTTGATATTGTAAAGAATTCCCTCGTATCTGATCTCACTCTTAGATGTCAAGCTTATCAAGCTTCCTATATATGAATCGGCCGTCGAATTCGATCTCGAAGTCGACGCCGTATTAGTACTATTCTCCGTTGCCATAGTCGGAAAATCGAAATCTCTCTTTTACTACTCCAATCCTAACCTATAAATATACACACAGACATGCATATATATCTATCTATTAAGAGAGATTAGGAAAGAACAAATAAAACTGAACTCAAAGTCTAAAAAGAGAGAAAGAGAGAGAAGACTAGGGTTTAGGTTATCTTTGCGATTACCGGTGCCTGTTTGTGGAAAGAGAGATCTAATAATATCTTTGCAGTTTTTTTGCGGTTTTTTGTAATTTCACTTGTGTATGATGAGTTAACTAATGAGGAAGAGCCACGTGCGCAAAGATTGGACTCGGTGGTCTTTTCATTTGGAATTTGAGGAGAAGTTCGGTCCAAATAGCGATGAGTTTAGTAAACGGGGGACAGCACAGGATTTGAGGTTTTATGTTCTCTCTAAGCGAATGAAAAGAAAACACGTAATATACGACTGAGATTAAATTACGTATCTACCCACAAAAGGGCAATCCTGATATGGAATGTGACGGGGTTGCAATATTAGGATCTGTTAGCGGTTTTACAGTGATTCAAATAGAAGTGTTATGTAAAAATAACTTTTTGATTAGTTATTATTAAAAAAATTTTTTTTGATTAGTTATTAAAATTAAAATGATAAAAAAAAAACTGAAATATTGATTTAAAACTTTAAATTACGATGATACAAGTGAACTCATATATTAATATATATATATATTATATATACTTTAGAATAATATATACTTTAGAATAAAAACTGAATCATTATGTCTATTTTTTAAATTATTGTCATATGTTGTTAATAAATTTTAGGAGTTGTAAATAAAGTAAGGCTTGTGAATTTGTATAAAAATAATGGGTTTGTAAAAGAAAATTAATTTATTTGACTGCTAATACTAAATTACTAATTTTTATAAATTATTCATAATTGGTAAGGCAACTCTTGTTTATTGTAATTGATATTTCTAGTATTTCTATAGTTAATAATTGCATTAGGAAATCAGGTTGAAAAGGATTTTTTTTTTTCAACAAATAATTCACTTACAAAACATTTATCAAATGTTAAGATGTTTGAAGTACTCACAAAATTAAGTTAATAAAAATATTTTTGTGATCAAATAAAGAGAAAATGGAAATTCTAAAAAGAGATTTTTTTTGTGAATTTTGAAAAAAAAAAATATTTTTTAGATTACAAAAATATTAAGGTTCTTAATTGAGTTGAAATATTATTCCATTATCGTAAGAATAAATTACTAAAGATATTACTTTTAATTTTTTTTTAATTAAGCTAAGCTATTTATGTTTTAATATTATAGTTCATAATAGAGTTTTTATTTTTATTTATTAGGATTACTAATTGAGTCAAATTTTTTAATTGAGTTAAAATTGTTTCTCTTTTTATATATTTTCCAAAAACATTAATTAAAATTTATAATTGAGTTTATATATTTTTAACTCAAATTCCAAATTAAGTTAAAATATTTTCATTTTTTTATGAAAATATACTGATTATAATAGATTGTTATTGTTTTTTTCTTAATGATAGTGATAGATGACCAAATGCATAATATTAATAATATATTAAATTTATTAATAATATATTAAATCTATTAATAGAATAATTTATTATATTCTAATTATAGAATAATTATATTTAGAATAATTAAATTAATAGTACTCCTCTAATTTCTAATTAAAAGTACTATTAGAATTAAAAATAATAGAATTATTATAGAATAATTATATTTAGAATAATTATATTCTAATTAATAGTACTCCTCTAATTTCTAATAAAGTACTATTAGAATAAAATAATAGAATTAGAATAAAATATTCACATATGTATTTCATGAAAAAAAAAATCGTGGTACTCTAAATTTTGGAGAGATATATTATTTTCTTGAAATTATGAATTTGGTAATATTATATATCTTTCTATATTAGCAATAATGATTTTATAGTATTCTGTGTTTTTAAATGTAAAATATAATTTGATATGTGATCCATACAATTTTTAGAATAATAATTTTATGTTTTCAACTATTCAATAAATATTTAATATATCTATTTTTATGAATTAGAGTATACAATAGAATAATTTAAAAATTAAATTATTTAATATATATAATTTTATAAATTTAATTAATTAAAAATTGAGAGTGCTACATTTTTTTTATTTTTTTATTTTTTTATTTTTTTATAGATTAGGTGGATTTATGCGTTTGCACATGTAGACTACGAACTTGGCACGCCGTTTTGCAACCAAAACCAGTACTGCTATCATTTAGACGAACGTCATGTCGTACGGCAAGGTTACCACTAACCAATAAACTGTTACTCAGTTTGTTAGGCAGTGTAGACATCCTGCAATGACACAAATATCCTCCTCCTGGTATGAAGAAAAATCGAACGGACCCGAGCCTTCTTCGCTTCACTGAACACATTCAAATTCTATCAATTCGATTTTCCGGTCACAAACTTCGTTAACGATCTTAGTTCCGGTGTGTTTCCGTTATACCGCCTCCTCTACGGAACCACCGAAATTAAGATTTATATTCAGTTTATTTTGTTTCCAAAGCAAACCGTTTATTTTCTCGCATTCGGTTTTTCTTTTTTCATTGGATTGCGTTATGTTCACGCCACAGAGAAGGTCGTCAGCGGCCATTACATTGACTCCTCGAAGCGAGGTGCGTAAAAGCGGTGCTCAAAATGTGGCTCCTTCTAACCCTAACATTGTAGGGAAGGGTAAAGCGGTGGCATTTGTTGATGGGCCGCCTGCTCCTCCGCCACCGCCACCTCCACCTCCGGTAGGCTCCCTGAGTGGGAATGACGTGGAGTTGGATACTGAAGATATGGAAGATTGGAAGCGATTTAGGGAGGCGGGTTTATTAGACGAAGCGGTCATGGAGAGAAAGGACCGCCAAGCGCTTCTTGAGAAAGCCTCGAGGCTCGAAAAGGAGGTCAGAATTTCAGTTGGTGCATTTTGGTGAACGGGGCTCTGGCCTTTTGACCGAATGAATGTTTTATAAATGTTTTTTTTTTTTTTTTGAATGGAAAGAAGGGTTTCTTGGATATATTTTTCTTCGTGTTGCAATTTGATTTTGGCTTAATATTTCCTGTTTCTGTGTGTGAATCCTCATTGAATGACTGACTTTCTATGATTTTCTGTTTCAGTACATTGGTAATTTGGTATAGCATGCTATTTTCAAGTATAGGATTCATTTCTGCTTTTTATATGAATGTCACTATATTTGCGTAGAACTTCTCAACTTGCTTGAATTTGGCACAACGTCTTGGTTCCATTCTTGTTTTCTTGGCACAATTTGACTTATAGTTTGTTGTTTCCTGTTCATTGCCAATCTCAGCTGAAATTGCATTATGCTTACTGTTCTTTCAATTTTTCTTATTAGACTGTGTGTGAGCTTAATTGAGCATGCAATCTTTTAACCGTGAAAGGGATACCATTTTTTTACTAATATATTTTTCCAAAACTACAATAAACTTCTCGTCTTGCATCATTGCGATGCTTTTTCTTTGAAAATTAGAATCTTTTAGGGTTTTGTGGTAGAAAGTAGAGGGTTCAATGATTTAGGGTTTTAGACAAAGTTGAAAGATTTTACTCTCATGAGCATATATGGTGGTAGAATGTTTAAGGAATTATGCAAGAAGATCTAATGATAAAGAAAATAAAAAGAGTTAATTGCATCTTGATCACATGCTCCGGAAGATATCTAGAATTGCTGAATTACTTTGCTTCCCCTCTAAATTAAAATGATAAATTACATAACAATATATAGACTTTCAATTCCTAATAATTATTTATCTAGAATTGTAAAATGGACAATGTGCGAAAGAAGCACTACAGCTAGCACCTTTTGAGCCGGAGGCACACCTTCAATAACTATGGTTCTGAGTAGACTGCTCTTTGAATCTGGATTATAATTAAATATTTTTGTCATTATGATCTATTTTCCTTTTAGTTTTGTGTTGTTGGTATGTTTTGTAGATGTAAGCATTATAGCTGAATTTTATTGTGTTACTGATTTTGACATCATTCATGTGTAGTTTTGATTTTGATTTTTGTTATAATTTAGGCTTTGTTCGGCAAAATTAGTTGTTTTATTTGTTGTAGTTGTTGTTTAACATCCCTAATAGTTGTCAACTGTTTTACTGGTGTTATCAAACATTAAAGGGAAAAACATTTCATAATCTGCTCTTTCAAACTCTAAACACTAGTACAAATGCAACATTACTGAATACTAGGGATAGTGTTTTGACCAAATCAAAATACTAAAAGCTACATGAAAAGTGTTGCCAAACAGGGCCTTAGAGGAGGTTGGTGTTTGGGTTTTAAAGACGTGTGATCATTAATCGTTTTTATGGAAAGACATGAATGTGATTTAGTGGTTGCAATTATATATTGGATTAGGGTGTTGCTCTCTGTACCTTTTCTTGTAATTCATGGCTCTCTGGTGTTTGTATGGTATAAGGGTTCATTGGGTGCATGATGGGTACAATTTGCATTTTTTGCAAGGAAAAAAAAAAAAAAACCCTAAATCTATCGCAAGTGAGAATCTATCAAAAAGCTTTTGATACCTTATCTTTTGTCTTGTATGGTTCTGACATATGACAACGAGATGTAGCCTTGAGTATTATTGTTCAAAAGCTTAGAATTGAAATTAGTGAAACTCTATTTGCATTACATATGATTTTTTTTCCCTTTTGGCACAGCTTTTTGATTACCAATATAATATGGGTCTTCTCCTTATTGAGAAAAAAGAGTGGAATTCAAATTATGAAGAACTTAGGCAAGCACTAGCAGAAGCTCAGGAGATCCTTAGGCGCGAGCAATCGACCCACATAATTGCATTCTCTGAAGCTGAGAAGCGGGAAGATAATTTAAAGAAAGCCTTGGTCATTGAGAAGCAGTGTGTGACAGATGTATGCTACTTGTAACTTTTCCTTTCTTTTTAAGCTTCTTGTTTTTTATTAGTATGTTCTGTTTGGTTTATGAAAGTAGGTGACTGAAAAAATAATATAATAATACTGTTCTTATCTAAAGTGGTTGATGTGAAAACAATGGAGAAAAGTGAGGGAAAAAGATAGAAAAATATTCAATTGGGAATTTCAAATTTCACTTCAAAATGGTGTGTTAAATTGGGGAGAAAAGGGGCAGAAAGTCAATTAGAGAACACCCTGCATAAAATTGAGATTCCATCTCTGTGCAACTCTTTATATGTTTATGGCTCTTGCAAACATGTTTTCCTATTCTTTTGTTGTTTTTTCTTTTCATAGATGCCCAGGCTAGATAATGGTTTATTTATTTTCCTGAAGTTCTCCTTACCTTTTACTCTTCTTTTTCTCTTCTTTCTGTGATTGTTTCTTATGGCTGAACCAATGCTAAGTTCATGTACATGTAAAGTAACTTCAATGTGCTATTACTAGCTGTCTTGTGTATCAGGTAATGTCATGCAGAGCAGTTGGCTGGAGTCTGCTGAAAGGCACAGCCTCACAGGCTGCTTTGTTAGGTCTTGGAGATTCTCTCATATATGTTATTTTTCTTGTGGTACATATGTTGTCTTGTAGAGGATTTATCTTTTTCCCTAACAATTATTTTGTGTACAGCTTGCATCCTTTCGATGGCTTTCAATTTTTATTTTGTTATTTTAAAAAAATGTTTAGACATTTCTAGAATGCTCAATACCGTCTAGTTCTTGTGGTTATGCCCCATGTGCACTGGCTGTTATTAAAACTGAAGGGCAGGTTATTTATTTCTTCTTAGTGATTTAACATATGTCCACTTTGGTGCTGGAAATTATTCTAATCTGTATAAACCAGTATAGTAAATACTGCAAGAGGGAAAAGTTAAGATGTTGGTCTGGCACCCGTGATCTTCTCTAGTTCTTTATGAAATTGAATTCCTGTTTTTTCTTTTTTTTTTTTCTTTTTGCCTTGATGCTAATTCCAATTTCAGGCTTCCATGAAAACCTTATAGCTTTGTTCTCTTTGATGACAGCCTAGGTACTGATTGGTTATCTTTTCCCATTTCGTTCTTTTTTTCTTGTTGTTCATTTTTTTTTTTTCTTTTACTCATCTTCCATATACGTCATAGTTCACATATTGCCCTCTTCCCTTTCTGTGCTTTTGAGAAACATGTTACTGACTAAAAACAAATAGCTTTCTTCATGAGTTCTCACCTGACTTCAGAGTTACCTTCTCTCTGTAATGGAAGTTCTTTTTTTTTTTTTTTTTTTTTTTTTTTTTCACGCTGAACTTCAGAGTTACCCTTTCTCCTGTATGGAAGTTCTTTTTTTTTTTTTTTTTTTTTTATTTTTTTTTGATATCTATGCATCCTGTGCCTGCAGCTTGAAAAGGCTCTGGCGTGAACTTCATGAAGAGCGTTTCACAGATTAACCATGCCTTCTAGAGTCAAAATTGGGCTGAATGCAAAAGCTTTAGCTGTTGGAAATGGAAGAAAACTCTTCTGGCAGGTGGAAGAAAAGCTGTGTGCTGCTGAAAGCCCAGCTTTGCTGAAAATAAACAGAAAGAATGAATGAGTTGGATATGAAATTGCATGATGTCGGAAGCCTCGTTGAAAATGCAGTTTCAATGGAGAGCCTTTCCATAAAACTGAGTATTTCTCTATGCTTCAAGTGTTTAATGTCTAAGAATGATTGTACTTTGCTAGGCTTTTTTTTTTTTTTTTTTTTTTTTTTTTGATATTCTATGCATCCTCTGCCTGCAGCTTGAAAAGGCTCTGCGTGACTTGCATGAAGAGCGTTCACAGATTAAGCATGCTTCTGAGTCAAAATTGGCTGATGCAAAAGCTTTAGCTGTTGGAATGGAAGAGAAATCTCTGGAGGTGGAAGAAAAGCTGTGTGCTGCTGAAGCCCAGCTTGCTGAAATAAACAGAAAGAATGAAGAGTTGGATATGAAATTGCATGATGTGGAAGCTCGTGAAAATGCAGTTCAGATGGAGAGCCTTTCCATAAAAACTGAGTATTCTCTATGCTTCAAGTGTTTAATGTCTAAGAATGATTGTATTTGCTAGCAAGAGCTATGGAGCATGTCACTCATACTGCAAATATCTGTCATTGATTACTCTTAGGAGAGAAGCACATGAGGCAACTTTCTATAAACAGAGAGAAGATCTACTTGAATGGGAGAAGAAACTACAGAAAAGGGAAGAGAAATTATGTGAGCTTCGGAGAACTCTCAACCAGAGAGAGGAAAAGGCAAATGAAAATGACAGGAACCTTGAGCAGAAACGGAAGGGTTTGGAGGAGGCGGAAAAGAAGATTGATGTATCACGTGAAAAGTTGAGGGAGATGGAAGATGATATGAATAATCGGCTCTCAGACCTGATTGCTAAAGAGAAGGTGAACTTATTGTCTAGCTAAGTGGCTTATTGAAGCTGTTTTTTCAACAGCTTTTCCTGCTTATCTGTTACCTTTTGTTGTCTTGTCTCAGAAAGTAGACTCTGCAAGGAGCATCCTAGAGATGAAGGAGAATCACTTACTTGTATTGGAAAAACAGCTTAGTGCTCGAGAAAAAGTGAGTTTCAAAATCACCTTTGGACTTAAGCACAATGTGATACTCAAATAATGCATTAAATCTTTTATTTGGATGTGTGTCACTGTAATCATTGGATGCACTCTTGATTCTTCACATATTCTTAACAGTAATTGTTCTAGAAAAGTCAACTGAAAGCTTCATTTCTTGAAAACAGAACTGTACAAACTTTGTATTAACAAAGTCTTGAGATTCCCTTTGCATCTGTAGATATTCTATACGCACATGTGCATACACACATACATCCATAAAGTTAATTTTCCCATATATTATGCTTTTACTAATTTGAAACAAGAAAAGTGAAAGAAAAAACAAATAATTGTTTTTATTATAGATAACATTTTCCTTTTAAAAGTTTGAGTTTGTGTCTTGCATTGGTTCATTGTATACTTGTATATCTAAAATTATTTTGTTTCATTCTGAATTTTGAGTCTCATAAAGCATGGTTAATTGTGGCTAACTCAACTTAAGACTTATGATGCATTCTAATGATTAGAAAGACCATACCATTATCTCGATCAATGACCCAAAGACGAGTGTTTTTGGATGAAGTAGCCATTCAAAATGTTAAGTCTGTTTTGTGTTTTGCGAGCAGTTAATTCTAGCAAGCTCATAGTTATAATTAAGTTCATGAGAAAGTCAATAAGAGAAGCCTCCACTGCAAGCTGGCTCCTCAAACCTGATCATCATGACATGTATTACTATTACTGACTATAGTAGCATCTGCAACCCCTTTCCAAGTGAAAATGTAATAAAGTTTATGCAATTATTGGAGTACATTGAGAGCAGTTCTTAATGATCTGATCATTTAGCTGTTATAAAAGTTGTGCATGCTTAGAATCCCTTGCTAGAATTGTGGACATCAAATTGGAAACATTGTTCTTAAAATTGTTAAGACATAAATTAATAGCATTGGAATATATGTTTTATGGAATGGGTTGAAAGGTATAGACACTTGAGTTTATAGTTGTAGACTTGTAGTAATAGAAAATGACTGTTATTCTTTGGCTTTGAGTTAATTATTCATATATGTTTGACTGATAATCATGTTTCCTGAATCTTGTACAGTTGGGAGTTCAGAAGCTCCATGATGAGCACCAGGCTGTTCTGAGTGACAAGATGCAGAAGCTTGAGTTAGAACTGGATGAAAAGAGGAAAGGTCTTGATGAAGAATTGAGCAGAAAGGTAGAGGCATTGGGGCAGCACGAAGTTGAGATTCTTCATAGGGAAGAAAAGTTGAGGAAACGAGAGCAAGCTTTGGATAGGAAGTTGGAGAGAGTGAAGGAGAAAGAAAAGGACCTTGATGTGAAATCAAAAAATGTGAAGGAGAAAGAGAAGTCTATGAAAGCTGAGCAGAAGAACTTGGATCTTGAACATAAAAAATTGCTTGCTGATAAAGAGAGCTTGCAGATTCTCAAAGATGACTGTGAGAAGTTGAGGTCTGAAATTTCTCAACAGGAATTGCAAATTGGTGAACAGAGTGAAACTCTTAAAGTAACTAATGATGAGAGATTAGAGCACCTTCGCTTGCAAGCGGAATTGAGGCAGGAGTTGGAGAAATGCAGGCGTCAGGAGGAGTTCCTTCTGAAAGAATGTGAAGATTTGAAAGAGGAGAGAGAGAAGTTTGAGAGAGAGTGGGAAGTGCTGGAAGGGAAAAGAGCTCAACTTAGCAAGGAGCTAAAGGAAATTACTGTAGGGAGAGAGAAATTTGAGAAGTTGCAATATGCTGAAGAGGAAAGGCTGAAGAAAGAGGAACATGCAATGAAGGAGTACATTCAGAGGGAGTTGGAGGCTCTTAGACTGAAAAAAGAATCATTTGAAGCTAGAAAGAGGCATGAACAACTCGCTTTATCTGAAAATGCTGAAATTGAGCATGATCAAATGGTGCAAGACTTAAAATCACAGAAAAGTACTTTTGAGACTGATCTCATAACTAGGAGGGAGGAAATGGAGACAAGCCTGCGGGAAAGGGAGAGGTCATTTGAGGAGCGGAAGGAGAGAGAACGCAAAGATATAAATTACTCAAAAGAAGTTGCTCAGAAGGAATTGGAAGAAATACACTCTGAAAGGCATGCAATAGAAAATGAAAAGAAAGAAGTTGCAAGAAACAAAGAGAAGCTAGAAGGACAGCAATTTGGAATCCAAAAAGACATTGATGAACTTGTGATGCTCAGCAATAAGCTTAGAGACCAAAGGCAACAGGTCATCAGGGAGAGAAATCACTTCATTTCATTTGTTGAAAAGCATAAGAGTTGCAAGAACTGTGGAGATGTCACTAGGGATTTTATACTTTCTGGTCTTCTGCCTTCTGACATGGAAGATAGGGAGATACTTCCTCTTCAGGTGGAAGCTGATGAAACTTTGAGGAGCAATAAAGATGCTGCTGAAGATCCAAATGTTATGAATGTCAAGAAATCTCTGGATGAAGGCAATTTGGGATATTCTAATCCTCAAGAAAACATGTCTTGGTTCCGCAAATGCACTTCAAAGATTTTTAGCATATCCCCTACGAAAAAGATAGAACATGGTTCAGCTCCAACTTTGGCAGTAGAAAAGACCGCGGGACTTGTTACACTGGACTCTAAAGAAGCTAGTGGTAGCATGGTTCCTGGAAACAAAGTTCAGCAGCTTCAGCATGATGGAATTAGAAGAGAGGAAGATGGATATTCCATCTCTTTTGACAACCACAGTTATATGGACAGTAAAGTGGAAGATTCTGGACAATCAGAGCTACAAAGTAATTGTAAACCTGGGAGGAGACGCAAGGCTGGAGTAGGTAGAACACGCACAGTAAAAGCAGTTATTAAGGATGGCTCTGAAGAACCTCAGGACAATGCCAAAAAGGTGCAGTCTTATCGTATCATTGATGGTAAGGGCATTTTAGGTCGGACAGAAAAGCCAGCAGGCAACATTGCAAGGAAGCGAGGACGTGCACAAGAAGAAAGTGAACAGGATGCTGGTGATAGTGAAGGATGTTCTGACAGTATCACGACTGGTGGTCATGGGAAGAGGCGGCAAACGGTGGCCTCAGCCATTACTCCAGGGCAAAAGCGGTACAATCTAAGGCGACACAAGACGTAAGTTAGGCCACACTTGATAGAATCTAGTACTTGGTTACATTAAGAATTCCTAATACAATATAATACCCCTTGCACAACATGCATAGTCATAAAATAATCATCTATTTTACATTACGTAATATCTGTTACACATGAAAACTAATATTATCTAATAATTATTATTTTATTATCTTTTTTAACATCACTACCAAGATCCTTTATTTCATTTACCACTGCCATAATTCACCATTGCCCTTCCCAGTGCCATCGCTTCTCACCCTGCTGCTTCCACCACTACCATGTGTACCTCACCTCCACTTTGTTGGACTGCCAGTGCCCACCCTGCTGCTGCTATAGCCACTTCTGCTATTTCATCACCACCATCGCCTCTCTACCATTTCTTACATCACCACTAACACTATATCACCATCATGATTGCCCATCCCGCTACCACCATCACCACCGTCATCATTCAGTATCACCATTTGTATATTCTGCCAAGTACCAAATAGAATAAATATGAAACAAAAATTGTTGTATTACACATATTTCATTTTGCTTCCATTCCATTTTGCTTCTTAGTTTGTTAAATGCAACTCCATTAGATTCTACCTAATTTAACTTTTCTTTTTATCAAGTAAATGACATAGTATGAAAATACATTTGTTAAGCTTTGGACAGTTTGCGATGCATGCAGTTATTTTTGAACTGAGATGTCTAGAGTGAATTGTTCAAAGGTTAAAGCCAGTGGTGTTGTATTTCTTTTTTAGTTTTCCGCCTTTCATTGGACAACATAGTGACAATTTGTTCTGAGTGGCTTTACACCTTTTTTGTACTGTTAAGTTCTCTCTGAGTTTCTGACTGATCATGCGTTGGCTGCATGGTTCATTTTTGACTAAAAGTGTCCATTAGGTTTCTTTGGATAGATATCGTGACATAATTTGTTATGATATTTGATTGTTACTAACCTGCGTTTAGTTGAGTATTCTTGATTGCATTTGCATATTAGTTTTACCAATGTGTGACATGATAAATGTGATTTATGTTGGATATGTTTGATGCAAGGAAGAAAGGCATATCTGATAGTTTTTCTCTTTAATCAATTGTGATCAGTGCAGAAGCAACTTCTGCCAAGCAATCATTGTCTGATATGATGAATATGGGGGAGAAAGAAACCGGTGGTTATGCCACTGCAAAACCATCTCAAAATCCTGAAACTGCTCCTGTGGTGTCGCTTGGAGTTGCTAGTGAGACTGGCAAGTCTAAGGACTTGTTGAAGGTCACAACAGTAAAAGATGTTGAATTTTCACAGGATAAGGTAGAGGGACATTTGATCGTTGAATTTATTTCCTGTATCTTGTACCAATTTCTCTGCTAATTGTCATATTATGGTAAAACTTGACAAACGTCAATGACCAGGCTAATGTGGCAAAATCGGTTGGGATTGCTGAGTTGAGCGAGGAAGTAATTGGCACAACAGAATTTGAGGATGAGGATGAGAATGGCAGCACGATCCATGAGGAGGACGAAGAGAACTACAATGATGAGGACGAGGATTTGGAGCATCCTGGTGAAGCTTCAATAGGGAAAAAGATATGGACCTTCTTCACTACATAATTGTTACTTTTTGGTCCGTGAGTCTCATTTCTCCCTCTCTTTCCCTGTACTACTGATAATACATGAACTGTCTTTAATTTGAGGAATAGAGGGAAAGCAAGTTGTGGGGTTTGCACACTAATGATTAGTTACTGAGGGAACACTTGTCTCTGATTTAATATAGGTCGGCTTGAGGTTTTGGTTTAACTGATTCCTGTATTCATCATCCTTCACCAATGTAGCCTGTAACAGTTCCCCATGGAGGAATCAACTTGGTGTTTCTCTATTATATGTGCCATAGCATAAAGCTCTCTCTTTTCTCATTTTCGTTCAAGCACTAATTACAATGCTTTGTCAATACCAATTATTAGAAATAATATTTCGACTGTACTAAAATAAAAATTATTTAAAATTTTCATTCGGAGATTAAAAAATCAATTAAATTTTTAAAATTTATAACAAAACCAATGATAGTTTGACCAAATTAACTTTTATCTTAAAATTAAGAGTAAATTGTGAAGTTAATTATTATATTTAATATGAATAAGAGTAATATTAAAAAATATATTATTTAGTATTTTTTAAAATATTTAAAACAATTTATATTTGATATTGAAATAATCACCTTAAAAATATATGTATTTTTATTCAAAAACGATTTATATTTAAAAAAAAAATGGTATAGTGTGAGCAAACCAGTTAACGAATGGCTCCAAAAAAAAAAAAAACAAAAACAAAATACAACCAAGTTACTAGGTATATAGTAACCGCAAATGTCAAAACACAATATAAGAAAAGCCCAATGTCAAATCTCAGCCGCATATCTATAACGAACCATAGCATAATGATGAAGACTGACTAACTCGATTCCCTCACACAGTACATGGTACATACTCATCGAGTCGTCTCATTATATAGTAAAAAACCAAATAAGACCAACTATAAATCAAAGAAATAATCTCACTCTAGAGTGGGAAAGTTATAAAAAGATGAAAAAAATTTTGATTTTATTATTTGAGCTATATAGACTGACTAAACTCGATTCATCACACGAGTACAATGTACATACTCATCGAGTCGTGCGCGAGAGTTATTACACGCTGATCAGTAGTCAGTAAACTCACACCACATAGAGAACACGCAGAAGAGCCGCACTAGAAAATCAAATAAATAACTACGACTCATAACCTGGGGCGCAAAAGTTTAAGAGACAGAGCACACAGAAAACAGATTTGATTTTATTATTGTGAGCCTTATATATATATTATATATATATATATATATAATATATATATATAATATATATATATCACCGTTAAAATTTTAAATCTAGAGTTATATCTAAACTGTGCCATTTGAAAACTAAAGATATATAAAATTTTAATCTAGAGTTATATCTAACTTGTCCATTTGAAACTAAAGTTGTTTTTAAAATTATAAAATTTGCAATTTGATGTGATTCAAATTAATCTAAATAAAAGAAAGCAAGTAACGTGAAAGATAAAATTTAGTCCTCATTTTTCAGTATTCATTGATCACCTACCGCTTAAAAAAAATAAATAATACAGAGAAGAAAAGGACATGTCAGGCTGCAAAAAGCCTGGCAAGAAAAATAAAGTTACTAGGATCTAAAGTGCGGGCTATGCCCTTCCAATTAGTCTGTCTCTCCTTATCTCGCCACTAGTTTCAACCCCTAAAAGGGTAGTGTGGTCCATTACAAGGTCACTTGTGTTCTCGTCTCCTTGGGTTTATTGCTGTCTCTATCCACCCAGTTTCTCACTTGTCCAAACGTCATTTATCGTACGGGCTGCTCATGTCGTTTTCATTTTTATGGTCTTCTTTCCTTTCTTACTCTTTTTTATGTGCAGGCAAAAAGAGTTGGTAACTGATTTTTTCCCTCCTCTAAATCTCCTAACTCGTCTAATGATGATTGGAACTATTGTCAAAATCATCAAATTGGAATGTAACTGTGCATCAAACATTTTGTATTTGTGAGTTCTATAAAAGATTAATGTACACAGAACATATTTATTTCCTGAATAGATGTAATCAAAATCATGTACTTAAAATTTGATTTTGATTTTTTATTTTTCGAAATTAGAACCAGCGATTTTAATTTTAATTTAAAACTAGCAATTTCTGCATATTAAAAAAAAAAATTCTTGTACATTCCTATTCATTTAATTATATTATAATCTTTGTATTTTAAAAACATACCAATGAGTTTGTTTTGAATAGTGTGGGAGGGAATTTGCACTTAAATGTACTATATCCTAATATATTTACATACTAGTTCGGTGTACTGAACGTAAGCATTCAGTTTGATCCAACTGAATTGATTTAATTCATTATGATCCAATGTTTGTAGATGATAATTAAACTTAAATTGAATAATGCAAAAATTGAATTTTGAATCATTTTAACTATTTGGGGTTTAAATATAAATTAACCGAATTGAAAAAAAAAATTATTTGTTTTCTCTTATAAAAGTGATTTCTTAAAACATTTGACAAAATCGGACCAAGTATGTTCTGTTCAATTTTCATTTGGAATCAATTAGTGTTCATCTTTAGGCCATGGTGGTGTGCTTTAAAGCTATAAGATCAGTGAAAATGTTTATGGAGTTTTTATTGAAGACAATAAGTACTAAACCAATCAATAACAATTAGACTAGTAGTATCAATAAAAGTGAAGATTGAAGTAAAAATTGTGATTATGTTTTGGTAACCTCACATTGAACTTGAATGAGCATTTCAAGGTCATGATTTCTAACTATACACCAAAGCTTCCATTTACTTCTAAACACAACTCTTCTTCCTCTTCCCTCCAAAACCTATTTGCAGACTTAGCAGTGTCCTCCACTTTTTTATGACCTCAATGCTTTTTTGTCCTTTACTATGTCTCTCTCTCTCTCTCTCTCTCTGACAACTGCTATGAAACCCAACACTCCTAATAGCCCAGAAAGAAAGAACAGAAAAGCAACAGCCAAAACCAAACTTTGTCTTGCATGCATTTACATGCATCTCCTCTCTTTTGCATGGCCAATGGACAATGGTCCCCTTTTTCTCTCTCAAAACCCTTAAAACCCTAACTATGTTCCTAACTAATCTCACCTCTTTAACCACTCTTTTCAACGATAAATCCATCAGCTGCCACTTCGCCACTTCCTTTTTGCCATTTCTAACAAAGAATTTAATGAAACCAATTAAGTTGTTGATGATTAATTAAAATCAAGAAAATGGGGTCGTATCAAGAACCGTATAAAGAGTCTTCCTTTCGCTTTCTACACACAACAACTCAATCTCCTCCACACTTAAAATTGCTCTGATCATAATATTTACTGCCATTACTATTATTACTTTAGCAGCTTTGAAAAGTGTGCTTGGATAGATCTTATGTTCTGTTCTGTTCTCTTCTGCTCTGTTTCTCTGCCTCTATATTACTATCTTTGCTTTTCTAAAACACAAGGAACCAATTTTCTTGAGTTTCTTTTACTAACTTTCTTTGCTTCTGTTTCCCTCTTTTTTTTCTTTACTTTTCCCTCACTCTTTAATTGCTATAATACATATTTGTAAACCTTGGTAGTGTTGAGTTCTTTACATATTACAGTAGTCTTTGCATTGCATCTATTAGGTGGTCTTTGAGTCCTTACGTTCCTTCCTCTTTTGGGTTTCTGTTTCCATATGCATAAACCATCTGTTATTTTACATTTCAGTGAAAAAAATTTGAAGTACTTACATCTTTTTCATTGCCTAAAATGTTAACCAGTTTATTCACTCTGTTTCCCTCTGCCTTTGCTCTGTTTTTCTTCTAACTAACTTTTAGTTTCTTCCAGATCTTTAAGAAGGTTTTGTTTTGAAACTTTTAACTCAATGAAGAAGAGTTCTTTCACCATCAAACTAGTCATTCTAGTGTTCTGCATATTTTGTTTGATCAGTTGTTGCCTTTGTGAAGAAGAAAATGATTCAGCTCCAATGGAGGAAAAAGAGAAAGCAGCACTGTACTCCGCCATACAAGGGTTTGTAGGTAAATTGTGGAATGGCTCAGATCTTTATCCAGATCCCTGTGGCTGGACTCCTATTCAGGTATTTTACAGTTTACACTTCCTCAATCTTTTTTACTGTTTCATTGTGATTTTTTTACTAGGCACAAACACCATTTTAAATAAAGATTGCTACCGTTACTTTTTGGCTCTGTTTGACATAATATTTGGCAATTTTATTTATTTAATTAAATTATCAAAAATCATTATATTAATTAATAAATTGACATAATTTACTATTATGCTTCCATTTTTTTTTCTACAGGGAATTTCTTGTGATATCTTTGATGGCTTTTGGTATGTGACTGATTTAAGCATTGGACCAATTCATGACAACTCTCTTGATTGTGTACCAAATGCAGAGTTTAGGCCACAACTCTTTGAGCTTAAGCACTTAAAATCATTATCCTTCTTTAATTGCTTTATGTCTCCTTTCAAACACCCAGTTACTATTCCTACCAGAAGTTGGGAAAGACTTGCAAGAAACTTGGAAAAATTGGAGTTTAGATCAAACCCGGGTCTTATTGGACAAATACCATCTAATTTTGGTGCCCTAAATAAGCTTCAATCTCTAGTTTTACTAGAAAATGGGTTAACAGGAAAATTACCTAGAATTGTTGGTAAGTTAACCAATTTGAAAAGATTAGTACTTTCTGGGAATTGGTTTAATGGGAGCATACCAGATAGCTTTGGAGGGTTAAATCAGCTACTAATATTGGATTTAAGTAGGAATTTACTATCTGGGTCATTGCCTTTAAGTATTGGAGGAATGGTTTCACTTCTGAAACTTGATTTAAGCAACAATCGATTACAAGGGAAGCTGCCAATAGAAATTGGTTATTTGAAGAATTTGACACTTTTGGACTTAAGAAACAACAAAATCTCAGGTGGGTTAACAAATTCACTTGAAGAAATGTTTTCTTTAGAAGAGATGGCTCTGTCAAACAACCCCATTGGAGGAGACCTTATGGGCATAAAGTGGCATAACCTAAAGAATTTGGTCGTTTTAGACCTATCTAATATGGGTTTGACAGGGGAAATTCCTATTTCTATTACAGAATTGAAAAGGTTGAGATTTTTGGGTCTTAGCGACAATAATCTTACAGGCAATCTCTCACCAAAGCTAGCAACTTTGCCTAATGTTAGTGCTCTATACTTAAATGGAAATAACTTGACAGGAGAGCTTCAATTCTCCGAATGGTTCTACATGAAATTAGGGAGGCGTTTTGGGGCTTGGAATAATCCAAATTTGTGCTTCCCTACTGGATTAATTTCAAGAACCCATTTTCCATATGGGGTAAAACCATGCAAGGAAAAGATTACTTTGCAAGAAGAACAAACCAATTCAGATTCCAAGTTGTACGATGGTAAAATGAATCAGAGTTCCATTTTGACGATTTCTTTGGGATTCTCAAAGTATAGCATTGATGGGTTTTGGTGGGTATTTGTAGTTGAAATATTAATGATGGTTTGGTTCTAACTCTTGGATAGGTTCCCATAGGGCACTTCATATTTCAGACTCCAAAAGGTATGCTGAGCTTTAGGCTTTAGAGGGTAACTTATTTTGATATGTAACAATTGTTGATTTTCATCCATCTTGTTGTCGCCTAACTTAAAGCTAATTGCTTTTGAATTAGATAACATATATTTCATATTCAATTGCTGGTTAGAGTGTGTTTGTTTATAGATTTTATTATAATTGATTTTGTTTTTTACTTCAATTTAATCCTATCAAGCAAAAACTTGAATCCAAAATATATGAATGATGAAATTCAAGTTTTGGATTAAACAAAATTTGTAAATGAAATGAAGCCATGAAAATTGGTGATATACAAGTAATGGAAAAAAAAAAATCAAATCATAGATGTCCAAAACAACTATAATAAACACTCTAAAACTCAACAAATATAGAACTGTTGTTTAGAACCTTTTGCACTAAAATTGTCCATAAATGTAATACTATAGTTACCGTCTCCTCGTTTCTCGATTAGATGAGAGATTAATTTCTCTTCTTTAATGTATCGATTCCATAACTCGATTAGTGCATTTCAATCGCTAGACCAAACTAACTTAGATTCAAGTATTTCATTTCTAATGCTTGTTGAATTTTAACTTAATTTTTAGGTCTTATATTTTCCTTGGCATACCCTTGACCAGCAACATTCCTTTATGCACTGTTTTGAAAAGCAAAACAAACATATCCCCACCCATATTCCCCAACTAACTCCAATGCTAAGGAATTTTTGTTAGTGAGCAGCCGTAGGTGAAAACCTAGAATCTAGACTTTTATTTGTTATTAATTACTATTTATTTGTCTTTGTATTAGAATTTCAAGGCATGGGAGTTGTGACATTAAAGTGTGATAAGTAAGTAGGCATAATAGAAGTGTAGGAGTAATAATAGAGCTGAGGCCTGTACTACTTGGTCTTATGGGTATTGGATAGGGCTTGAAGCCTCTACCGTGTGTACAGTGCTTTATTAAGAACCATTATGTTAAAAGCTGCTGATGATGAAGCTGAAACCTGCAGAATAGAATCCATCAAAAATAGAAAAATATATATTAAAGCTCTGCCATCCATAAATACAAGTCCTACCTAGGCTTCTCTTTGTTCTAGGTTTGTTTTTCTTCTGGTCTTGTGTCCTCAAGGCATTAATGATAATTTGTGTCGCGTGTGTGTATGTGTGTGTGTGTGTGTGTGTGTGTGTGTGTATATATATATGATCAGGAAGAAATTGAATGTTCTTCCCTGCTTTTTTGATACCTTTCTATGGTTATATCTGAATCTTGATGGGATTTTGGATTATCATTGCAATATCTTAGCTCTGGAGACATTTTTATATTTTTTGAGAAGAGGCCAAAAAGATTTATGTGTACTCAGCTATGTATCATTTTGGTTTTTGGTTTTTAGTTTTAGAATTTTAGTTTGTATATATTTTTATATATAAGGTTTGTATCTTGAAAAAAGGTTAATAAAACAAATAATTCACTCTTATTTCTAACAACTTATTTTTTTTTTTTATTTAAAAATGTTCATAACAATAAAAATAGTAACAAAATTTTCTTTTATTTTATTAAACGGAAATCAAAAATAAAAACTATACCGGACAAAAATATAAAATAGTTCTAGCTTGATATATGATTGAGATTTTTTTTTTTTTTTTTTTTTTTTATTACCGGACAAAAATTATATAAATAGTTCTAGCTTGGATTAATATGATGAGATTTTTTTTTTTTTTTTTTTTTTTGGTACTTTGAAATTAAAATAAGTGCACTTATTTTTTTTTTTTTTTTTTTTTTGTACTTTGAAATTAAAATAAGTTGCTTAATATGGATAGCTCTCCCATTTTTCATAAGTTACATAATTAATATTTTATTTTATTTTTTACAATTAAATATTCAAAATGGAAATTTTTTAAATAAATTACATCTAACTATTTTTTATGAAAATAATAACATCATTTTGACTTCTATCCCCTCAAAGTCAAATTTCATAGGTAACACCATAACAAATATTATTACTTAATATAATGTAAGCTTTTTCCACTTTGATTGCAACTTATTTTCTAATTGAGAATTAGGCTAGTTTGATGTAATGAGGAAAGTTGCATATAATTAAGGAATAATAATAGTTATCAGCCACCATACCAAATTGATTCCCCACTAAAGATTTTTTTTTTTTTTTAACACCAATTTTCCTTATAGTCAACAAATTTCATGATACCCTTTTTATTTAAATTTGAGTATATATTTAATCATTGCTATTAAATAGGAAACCACTTTCAAAGCTATTTATATTTTTATTAACTCTTTGTTTTGTTTTGAGAAGAGAATTAGGAAAATAATGAGAAATTGTCATTTTTTTTTTTCGTAATTATTTTGTACCATTTTGTTTAGATAGAATGAAAGAAAGATAATAAATTTATTTTTCGTTGAAAATAACAAAATTCTAGAGGAAAAAATATTATTATTGAAAATTATCAATTATGTACTCACTTAAATACGAATATTTAAGAAATAATTTAAGTTTGGTAATTAATTTGGGGCATTTTGATAATTCAATGCAAATGAGTAAAATTCTCACTTTTTTTATATTATTTTCTCTCTAAATTAAAGAGATTTAAAATTTATGGGTCTCAGGCTAACAAAATATGTGGATCTGAATAAAAAATAAGTGAAATATTATTTCTTTCGATATTTTTTCTTCTTTTCCAACCAAGAAAAAAATATCTTTCCTTAAATATTTTACAAAAAAAAAAAAAAATAAGTGAAATATTATATTCTTTAGAATATTTTTTCTTCTTTCCCAACTCAATGAAAAAAATATGCGCGCGTACGTAATTTATTTTACGAAAAAAAAAAAAAAAGAAATACTTCTCATCTAAAGTAAGCGAGTAAACACACGAATTCGTAATCAGTTGAAGATTGATTTTTATGTTGAATAATATTAAATAATTAAGATATTTTCTTTAAATAAAAAAACGAGGTGGACAGACTTAATATATAACATTGAATTTATAAAAAATGCAGATGCTATCCGAATGATATAGTAAAGGACCAAGCCTAAATAGTAGGGGACTAAAACTAATTAATTTATTTTAAGTATAAGGTGGCACATATAGTATATTCCTTTCGAATAAAAATTTTTAACATTAAAAATTGATTTTCTTTTTTAAAATTTAAGGGGAGGCCAGCAGTCCCCTACAATATGTGTATATAACTAAAAAAAAAAAAAAAAAAAGAAATACTTTCATCTAAGTAAGGAGTAACTCTAATGAATTCGTATAGTTGAAGATGATTTTTATGTTGAATAATATTAAATTAATTAAATATTTTCTTAATAAAACGAGTGACAGACTTAATATAAACCAATTGATTTTTATAAAAAATGAATGCTGTACCGAATGATATAGTAACGGACCAAGCCTAAATAGTTAGGGGACTAAAAAATAATTTTATTTAATTATAGGTGGCAAAACTAAAATATATTCTTTTCGAAAAAATTTTACATTAAAAATTGATTTTTCTTTTTAATTTTAGGGGAGGCCACAGTCCCCAACATATGTGTATAAATAATAAATAATTTTAAAAATATATACACGTAAAAGCTCTTCCCTTTTGGGAACAACAAAAATATCAAATGGGCTGGACGGGATACTTTGGTCCATAATCAAGTCTAGAGATATGCACGGTGAACAGAACGCAATTATTTTTTTTTTCTTCATCATCAAATATATTGATCACAAATTAATTATAAATATAATCTTAATTAGTTATTTTGGAGCAATAAATTTTATTTTGACTTCTCATGTTTCTTTCCTGTCGCATGATTAGAAGCACGATAGTGGAAAAAATTACTTAAACATCATAACTGAGAACCAAAATTGAAAAGTCAAAGAAAAGAAAATGAGATTAATTAACATAAATCAAAGTATTATTTTTTTATTCTGCATTAATTTATTTATGTGACAAGTCCACCATGGAATAGTAATGTAGGAGGAGGTTGAAGAAGTTAGCAACTTGCTTTGCTTCCTATTGGTATATTTGACCCCTAGAATTTCAAGGTCCAATGTGTCGCTTCGCTTCTAGTCTAGTGGCAGCTTATTGGTTGATAATTTTTTAATAAAAATCTATTGATTTAATAAAAAATTTTAACTTCTAAAAATTAGTTCAAATGCTATATTAACAAATTTATTATGTTGAAAATACATTTTAAATCCATAAATTTTATTTTCAAATCAAGTAATAAATAATAAAATTTATGTATTTCACATTCCATCAATCCAAACCATAATATGTGTAAAAAAGGGGAAAATAGTACCATTTTTTTATTTATAAAAATTTAAAGTTCAAATAAGGTCGTATTCAATAAGAATTTTACTGTGAATCCAATTTGTAATGTATTGAAAATTATAAAATGAAAAGATAAGATGGATTGAAAAACTAATTAGATAATACATAGTGTACAAGTATAGTTCAAATTTGACAATTGCTCTCTCTGTATTGCTAAAACTAAAGAATTTTGTGCCATGGAAGACGTGTATGAGAATATAATTGCTCTACTTCAGTCTTTTCTTTGGGAAATGAGAACTTTTGCACAAGTAATCTGGATTGTGACACAACTACAAATAAAAAAATCCCCACAATTTTTAATTTTTTTATGAAAAAGATGAACACTATGAGGTAGGAAACATAAAAAAAGGACAACAAACACAATTTCAATACGCATTAAACAGTAGATTGTATAATTTGTGACATAATATAAATATTTATTAAATATCATTCTATAATATAGATATAAAATTTTTACCATTACCTGGACTAAATTAGTATTTAGAGTTTGTTCAGCAAAATTAGCCGGTTTGGTAATTGTTAGCTGTTTTAATAGCGTTTTATAAAATATTAAAAGCTAAACGTTACATGAGTTAACTTTTTATAAAACATTATTTTAATATCTAAAAACTAGTTCAAACGCTATATTATCGAACGCTATAAAAAATAGCTAAAAATTACTTAAAAAACTGTTACCGAACATAGCCTTAGTGTAAGATTCTAAATAAAAATGATGCGTTTTATATTATAGTTTAAGTAGTCCCCGTAATCTCATATGTATTAAACAGTAGATTGGATAATTTCCTTGCAACAGCCACATAATTGGAACAATTATTCTT